AAATGAAAGGAGAATTATTTTCTGTAAAGCTATCTTATGTGTTAACCCATAATTGATCTTTGCAGACTGTGTTAACCCATAATTGATCTTATGAATTGTATAGGATGCCCATCATTGATAAATTCAAAGACATGGGAACTGTTGTTATGGGAAAAGTAGAATCGGGCAGCATTCGGGAGGGTGATTCCTTGGTCATTATGCCAAATAAGGTACTTTCCAACGTTATCTCGCATTTCATTTTTAATTACCAGCTCATTTTCTTCCTGATAACTTACACGTATCAATGTAGGAACCCGTGAAAGTTGTTGCAATATATTGTGATGAAGATAAAGTTAAGCGTGCTGGACCGGGTGAGAATTTGAGAGTCCGTATAACTGGCATAGAGGACGAGGATATCCTTTCAGGTTTTGTTTTATCTAGCACGGGTGAGTATGATGATTTTTCCATGTAAATTTTGTTGATATCTGGAATCTTCGCCTTCTGTTTTTCGTAGTTGACTAATCTGGAACATTCTTTGTTTTCTGTTGCAGTAAAGCCTGTACCTGCCGTTACTGAGTTCGTTGCCCAGCTACAAATCCTTGAGCTGCTTGACAATGTAAGCACATGTTACCTCTTGATATGACAACTTTTGAGTGTATCTTTTCTGAATAGTGTTACTTTTCTGAAATTTGATCCCTGCTTTTTTTTTCTGCGCATATAGGCTATTTTTACAGCTGGTTACAAGGCTATTCTCCACATTCATGCTGTGGTTGAGGAATGTGAGATCATTGAATTGATAAGCCAAATTGATATGAAGACGAGGAAACCAATGAAAAAGAAAATTCTGTTTGTGAAGAATGGTGCTGCTGTTATCTGCCGTATACAGGTCTGATTCCTTTTCGTTGCCTTTTCTTTCTTTCCTTGAAACTTTTATTCATAGAGATAAGTTTCAGGTTTACGTTTCTATTCCAGTCAAAGAAAAAGCCTGAAATATTACTTCATTTGGAACTTGGTGCGATGTTTTGGATATATGTGTAGTATTCTACTTGCCTGCACTGCTTGACAAGACTGATAAAATGTTCTCAGTCGTTTTCGGTAGATGGACTATAACTGTAACTAATACCGTTGTAACAAAAGTTTAGCAGAAACATTGAGCGCATCCACATGAGATTTCAGTTCAACATATATAGCAATTATTATCAAGTCTTTCTAATCCTAATCTCTGCTATTTGTTTCTGTATCTCTGCAGGTTGCCAATTCCATCTGTGTTGAAAAATTCTCAGATTTCCCTCAACTTGGAAGATTCACTCTACGGACTGAAGGTAAAGATTTCCGAGACTATATCAAGTGCAATGCATAATGTGATCACTCATCATAGCATCTTAGTTTATGTGCATGGGTTTACAAATTTTATTTGGTGTCACAACAGGCAAAACAGTCGCGGTGGGAAAAGTGACTGCGCTCTCAAGCGCTTGATCCAAATTTTGTGAGAAAAAGGTGACTTGCTAGTCTTACGAATTCAGTAATTTTTGGTAACCATCAAATTGAAGAAACATCCAATCTAAACCAGTTTCTGGCTCTTTGAATTGCAGGAAACGGCTTTACGGGTTGTACCAAGTGGTGGAATTAGGAAAAAATGCTTCAGGAAGGGAATCTGAGTGCACTAAACTCAATCCTTAGTTCAATATCTATGGTGCACAATTGAGAGTTACTGCTGCAGAGAGGTGTAAACCTGAGACCGTTTTCTGAAAATTTAAAAAGCTAGAAAAGAGTATTATGATGAACATGAGTGAGTTTCAATTACTACTACTACTATCATTACCCTTTTGACCGAGTCTGTTTTTCGGCTTTATGGAGTTTGCTGTTTGAATAGTTTGAGGAAACATTATTTGTTCCTTAATTCTTGTCAGACAAGTACCTTGTTTCTTCGTGTCTATTCCCCCATCCAACCTTACTTCTGAATATTTGAGGTTGCAAATGCGTACATTCATTGGCATAAACAAGTTAAATTGAACACGTTGAAGATTAGGAAGTCATTTGCAGTGTTCCACCGTAAAAACCGGATGGTTTCATGTTGTCGTACTAAAATATTATCGGTTGTTGGTTTGATTGATTTAAACTGGGTTTACTAAACTGTGTTTGTTTCGAACAAAACGTCATCGTTTAGAGTGTCAATTACCTTTATCATCTAGTTTAAGCGCACTCACCCACTTTTCCAGCTAGAGAGAGTTTTCTTTATTCTCTTTTTCTTTTGGTTCCCTCGATTTACCGACGCGCCAACGGCTACTTTTTCCTCCGGAGACGGAGGAGCTCTCCACGTGGGGAACCCTAAATCCCTCGTCGACCAAAATTTCAGATTTGAAAAGGCAATCGAGTTGTTAGAGAAGGATAACCAACTTAAAACAAGAAGAAAGATCATTGGTTTGTGTGTGTGTGTGGTGTTTGTTTAGAGTACCGCGAATACGATAAAATGGAGCAGCCAAAGAAAGTAGCTGATAGGTATCTCAAGCAAGAGATTCTCGGGCAAGGTACTTACGGTGTCGTCTTCAAAGCCACTGATACTAAGGTCTGAATTGGTTTCTCCATCTTCGCCACGAAATTAGGGTTTAGGATTTGTCGTTAATACTCTATATCTTTACATAGTTTGTTTGATTTGGGTTAGAATCGAAAAGGGTTTAGTTTTGATTGCTAATTAGACTTGCAAGTTATTAACTTTGTTTTTTTTTTGGTCAATTGCAGACAGGAGAAACTGTAGCAATCAAGAAGATAAGGCTTGGTAAACACAAGGAAGGTGTTAACATTACGGCTCTCAGGGAAATCAAAATGCTTAAAGAGCTAAAGCATCCACATATCATTCTCTTGATCGATGCGTTCCCTCACAAAGAAAACTTGCACCTTGTGTTTGAGTTCATGGAGACTGACCTTGAGGGAGTCATTCGCGATTCAAACGTGTTCCTCTCACCTGCCGACATCAAGTCTTACCTCTTAATGACACTTAAAGGACTTGCTTATTGCCACGAGAAATGGGTTTTGCACCGGTACTTGACAACTTTCTTTGGTTTATCTAATGCTGCTTGCTTTAGTGCACTGATTATGTGTGTTATTTGACTTCAGGGATATGAAGCCGAATAACTTGTTGATAGGACCTGATGGACAGTTGAAACTTGCAGATTTTGGATTAGCACGTATTTTTGGTACTCCAGATCGTAAGTTTACCCATCAGGTATGGTTTGTTGCTTGCAGAATGTAACACTAACGTGTAGATGTTGAATCTTATTATGAATTCATTGAAGTAGTTGTTACCTATAGTTGTGTCACGGATGAGTAAGCTTTGAAGTCTTGGAAATTTTTTTTTTTCTCGTGTTGTATACTAATCTTTGAATTGATGAAATTTCTCATCTTCTCTTGTAATGGACTTTTGCTAATGACTATGGATATTGCCAAATGTGACATGTATAAAACAGTCTCAACTCAAAGTACATGATGTAGTAGACTAGCAGTTATTATCTCATCTGTGTATTATAATTCTGCTACTAATAGAAACCTTGAGCTGAGCTATTTACGCTTCCTTTTTCCTTTGACCACCCATGATTACAACAGATGCGGGATGCACCTTATTTCTTGTTATTTCGGTTTGATCCATTATCTTCACATCTTAAAATATTTGATAATGCGTAGGTGTTTGCTAGATGGTACAGAGCACCAGAACTTTTGTTTGGTGCAAAACAATATGGTGCTGCAGTTGATGTTTGGGCTGCTGGCTGCGTATTTGCTGAACTTCTTCTACGCAGACCATTTCTTCAGGTTCAATAATCTTTACTCAACTCATCATGGTTAAAACTAAGCTGAATCCAATCTTCATTTCTTTGGAACTTATACCCTTAGTTAGACTACTTAGTACTTCTTTCTTTAGTATTATTTGCTATGTATGCTTACATATTAAGCTTTTATTTCGTCGCAGGGAAACAGTGATATCGATCAGTTAAGCAAAATATTTGCTGCCTTTGGGACACCAAATGCGGATCAATGGCCTGACGTGAAAAACCTTCCTGATTACGTAGAGTATCAGTTTGTCCCAGCACCTTCTCTACGTTCTTTATTCCCATCAGTTAGTGAAGATGCTCTCGACTTGTTGTCCAAGATGTTTACCTATGATCCAAAGGCTAGAATTTCTGTTAAGCAGGCTCTAGAACACAGGTACCTAAAGCTCTCCAGTCTCCACATAATCATAAGCAAAGTAATATCTTGTTCTGTTTTCACTCCTTTGCTTTCATATTTTTAGGTACTTTACTTCTGCACCTTCTCCTACTGACCCTGCTAAGCTCCCAAAGCCACTTCGCAAGCAGGATTCTAAAGCCTCTCACGGTAAACATGAGGGTACTAAAGTGGTATCTCCACCACATAAGATTAGAAGAGTAATGCCGGAGCGTGGGAAAGCTGATAGTATAAAGTCTCACGTTGACAAGGATCAACAAGCACCCATGTCATTAGATTTTACCGTTCTTGCTGAGCGGCCTCCAAACCGGCCAACAATCACAAGGTAAAAACAGAGCTACCTGCGCCTACTGTGTGCTACTTTGATTAGTTGTTTTTGCAGGCTTAAGATTGAATGTGTGTTTAAAATTTTCTTCTTCTTGTTCGTTTTGTAGTGCCGATAGGTCTCATCTGAAGAGGAAGCTGGATCTCGATTTCTAATAGTAATGTTCTTTGCCTTGTTCTCTTACATTCAGTTTTGGTCTCTGATGAGACTTCAACGTTATTAGATTGTCATTTTTACTACCGCTGGTGTAAGTTTTGGCGATTTATTCCTTTAATTTGACATTGATAATACTTAATTGTATTTGTCTTACTTGCTTTATTCATTGTAAACTAATAATCATGTACGATATGATTATAAAGCTCTCTACTTTTTCCCTCAGTGAATCTTTTGCACCAGAAAGAGTGATCAGTTCAATCTTCAAACGTTCAAGTTTTTTATCCTCTTGACCTCAAAAACGTTTTATTAATTAGCTGTTATAGTTTCAAGCAGATGTGTATGTGTTCTCAAGAAAAGGGTAGTCTGTGTAGCCCACGACAGGATCAGAAGTATAGAACGTTGATCTGTCATACGTATTCAACGGTGCATTGAGTTCAAACCTCCTTGGCAGATCAGGATTTGCCAAGAACGTCCGTCCATAACCCACCAGGTCGGCTCCTCCCTCTTCCACTACTTTGTTCCCATCTTCTCTAGAGTAGCCTCCAGCTACTATGAACGTTCCTTTGAAAGCATTTCTCATTGGCCTAAGCGACTCATTGCATTCAAACATTTCTTCAAGGAGCTTCATTCTAGGTTCAACCATGTGACAGTAAAGGACTCCATGCTTGTTCATTTCTTGCACCATGTAGAGTCCTAATCCCTCAGGGTTCGAGTCTCCGGACTCCATGTAATCTGCAAATGGTGAGAGTCTGATCCCTACACGATCTGAACCAATCTCCTTCACCACTGCTTCGACCACTTCCACAGCGAATCTGCAGCGGTTCTCGAGTGACCCGCCGTAATGGTCACTTCTGTCATTCACTTTGTCTTTTAGAAACTGATCAATGAGGTAACCATGTGCACCGTGAACCTCCACCCCATCAAAGCCTAACATTACAACAAGAGTCATGTTCCATTATGCATCCAAAGGAGGAAAAAGACTTGGCTTACCAGCTTCCATTGCATTTCTTGCAGCAATTTTAAAGTCGTTGACAATGGCAGGGATCTCGTCAGTTTTTAACCGCCTTGGAGGGGTAAACTGACCTCCATACATGTTATTACACGTCAATGGCTTGTCTGTAGAGGAGACGGGAGCTTCCCCATTTGTCTGGTCTAAAGAATGAAAGACCCTGCCACCGTGCCAAATCTGGCTGAAGAAGATGCCACCTTTGGCATGAACCGCATCGACAATGGGCTTCCATGCTTCCACTTGCTCTCTGGTCCATAATCCAGGTATAGCCGGATAGCTACACAAATAGTATAGACAAGATTTAAGTGATGAGGATTGATACAAAGGAGAAATTATATATGTAGATATATATACCCCTTTGTTGTGTCCTTTGTTGTGTCGGACACTGAACAAGCTTCAGAAATAAGAAAACCACCAGGTGTTGTTCTTTGAGTGTAATATAACTTGGCATGAGGCTGAGCAATGTAACCATACGCTCTCTGTCTTGTCATTGGCGCTAGAATAACCCTGTTTCAGAGTCGTTTGTTACTACAACTCAAAGAGAACAGTCAAGTTTCCTAAAAAAGGACTAAACTCAAGATTCAGGAGAAGGGTAACAGTTTACCTGTGAGAAAAATTGAAAGGTCCCATCTTATAGGGTGTGAGGAGAGGAATACTCTTACTTTGTTTCGTCTCCATTGACAAGAGTAAAACTGTGTGTTGCTTATGTGATCAAAGACTCTCGAGTTTGTGTTCTTGAAATGTGGAAAGGTAATATATTCATGGTACAGATCTGGTGGTGATAGTAGCGTGTATTGATTGTTCACTAGCTAAACCGTCGTACAATTATTAAACCAAGGACTACTTTTCCGCCATAAAGTCTACAATGGACAGTGCATGCTGGGTCTACCCTAGATATTTTCTTTCTTCCATCTTGTAATGATTCTGATAGTACAACCATTGATATAAAATTCTTGAATAGACTATTCTGAGGTAAAACTCAAAGTGACTGGTGTCAGCAAACAACTTACTATATTGTCTTGTTACTAGAATTTCCTTTGAGAATTTAGTGAGGTATGCTTCAGTCAATTTTGTTCAGCTGTTCCAGAAAACAACACAGATCACAATGTCGTGTGCAACAAGACATCTATACACATTATGTAAATACGTGTTATGTATCCTTAGCCTTGCCCTATCCCATGTACTGAAAAGGTTACGGTAGTTGTAGATCCACAAGAAGGATGTGATTGGCGTATAACACACCCTGAAGCCAATCTTGTGTCCTCTGTTCTTTTATGTTTATCTACTAATCAAAGACTCAAAAAAGTTGTGAACTCCACAAAGGAGTTCACTTTATGAGAACCCAAAAACAATACCATAAAGTACATAGACATTTCACTGCCTCATAATGGCTTATCAAATGCATTTCAACGACAGAACATCCTAGTGAGTGTTTTACTCAATGCTCTAAACCTTATTACCATTAACATCATCCGCATCACCTTCGTCTTTAACAAACACATAAACAAGAATAACCAACAAAGGATAACTCACCGTAGTAAGTGACCAGTTTATAACAAGCTGTGACATCAACGATACCTTACGTGTATCTATCTGCCAAGCCACTGCAGCTCCTGCACTCTGAACTCCTTTATAGAATCCACTGTATCTACTCAAAGTCTGAGAATCATCAGCTAACGCACCAATCAACCAATACACCATGCTCTGATACATCGCATCTAACAAACCATAGCTCATATATAACAAGAACGGTCCAACAAAGTCTTTCCCTGAATCTTTAAAGTCAAGTTTCTTCACCGGGAGATTGTCAAAAGTGTAACCATGCTGATTCGCTAACCCTCCTCCCCATATCACTGTCCCAATCACCGCCACTAATGATATTCCGGTGAATCCTCTCGCTCTCCTGCTCTTGAAGCTGAAGTCCATAATGTAACCGATGGCGAAGGAGCCAACCATCTGAGCTCCCCAGTAAAAGACATTGTTGAACCCTCTGGTCCTGAGGTTGAAGAGAAGACCGTTCACGTTGTTGAACTGATAGCTATAGAAGAAGTTGCTAGCCCAAGCAGCTGGAACGATGAGTAGCATCTTCTTATCGAGAAACAAGCGTAGCACCGCGGCGAACTCCGTCCCGGGGCGTGAGTATTTCACGGCGGAGCATCTAGACCCGTCGTCCCGGATCACGGAGTTCGCCGGAAGGATACCGAACGAGAGTAGAACCCCACCGAACATGAAGCACATGAAAGCGATGTACGTCGCGTCGTTGACCGACGCGGCGGAGCTACGGCGGTAGTTGAGTATAAACGGGATCAAACCGCCGATCACGCCGCCGAGGTTGAAGATGCTCCAGAACAACGCGATGTAAGTGCCTTTCCGGTGCGGAGGCGGGTACGACGTCATCACGGCGCCTTCACCCGCCCAGAGGAGCCCCGCGCCGCAGCCGAGGAGGGCTCCGGCGACGACGGCGAAGGCTTGGTGGTGGTGGTGGTTGTAGTAGAGGAAAGATCCGGCGTAGAGGACGTAGGTGGAGCAGCCGGCGGCTAACGTGAGACGGGGGCCGAGGACGTTGTAGAACGCGCCGCCCAAGACGCCGAAGACGGTGAAAGCGGTGTAGACGGCGGTGTTGGCGTTGTTAGCGGCGGTGGGGTCGACTTGACCGCCGCCTCCCATGCCGGAGAGAGCGTTGAACATGCCTGGGCAGCAGAAACAGACGAAACCCATTAAGGTGACTTGAGAGAGAGGAGAGTTGAGTCGCCATCGTGATTGTGTTGGTTTTTTTTCCTCCGGTGCTACTCCGCCGCCGTGATTCGTTTTTTCTTCTTCGGTTATTACACTCATGGTCCGGAAAACAGTTGAAGATAAGATAAGAATGTTTCTGTTCCGAAAACTCAAAGCTCGGATCTTTTGGTTTGTGATTTTGAAATGATTCTTCCCTTTAATGGCGGAGATGTCATGGGGAGAAGAATATTAATTAATTAATTATAAGTTTTAATCTGATCCTAGTATATCTAACTGTAATAACTCCAGAGCGTAAGGAACATGACCATTAATTATGGTTACGTAAGCTGTTAAGACATTTCAACACTAAGGAAAATAGTACTCCTAATACTTTTTAGAAAAGTATATAACTAATTAATTGTTAACGTTGACCAAAACGAAAACAATGTGGATATATTTAAATAGAATAAATAGCGAGCTACCACTCTATGCAGAATACTATGAAATAATGATATAGGCCATATAATGGACGTATGTAGACTTTATAGTCTATAGTTTACACCAGACATTTCAACAGTAGGGAAAATAATACTCAATCCGTTTCACTTTGTTTGTCATTCTAGTTTTTTTGCACACAGATTAAGGAAATATTTAATTTTATATATTTCCAAGATAAAAACACAATTACCTATACACCTAACCACTTTTCAACCAATAAAAAAATAGAATATTATATAAAACTAATCAATTTTGCCTCAAAATTTTAAAACAATACTTAGTTTGTGACAAAAAAATAAGCCTAGAGAAACATATATTCTGAAATGGAGGGAGTAATATTTTTAAAAAATATATATAACTAATTAACTCTCAACATTGACCAGAGAAAAATGTGATTAGCGAGCCACAGTTTAAATCGGATCAAATGCTGAAATAGACCAAATGGTCTCCAAAAAATCTCAATTAGACCTATCCTTTTTTTATTTTATTTTACAATTAATTTTAAATAGAAATTTTAGTGAAATAACTAAAAAGCCTAAGGATTTCAACTTATTTACTAACCTATGCCACTACTATCCTACCCAACATCCGACCCAGATCCAAACATCCAGATCCAAAAACCCACCCAATCTCCTTCTTCTTTCTTTTTTTCTTCTTCATTCAAAGTTCTTGGACAAGTTCTTTCACCATGAAATCAAATCAAAAAAATTCTTCAACCATCCACTAATTTTCTTTCTCTTATCTCAAATCGATCAGCCCATAATCATATTTACTCAATTATATTTTACCCAGAATCAAATTTCATATTTTACATACGAAATTCAAAATAATGAAGAACGCAAAGTATTATTAGTACAACTAGTACAACTCAAACTAATATAACTAATATAACTCACTCTAGTAAAACTAGTATAACTTGTACAACTTAAATTAGTACAACTAGAATAACTAAAACGAGTATAACTAGTATAAATAGATTAAGTATCCCATATACATTATTTGAGAAGTAGTTTTCTTACATGACTTTGAGAAATTATGAAATGGCATCATTTAATTATGAAATGTAGAATTGCTTTTATTTATTGTTTTCAGCATATGAAGATGCTAAAAAGAGAATGGTGTAGAACCAATAAAACATAGTGGTCTAATCTCCCCAGCCAGCCATATGTCAAATATATGAATAATATATTTTCATTATATTTGTTTTGAAATTGATATGTTTACAAGTAGTATTAGTTATACTAGTTGTACGATTTTTGAAAAAAAATCATCTTCATATTTTTTGTCTCGAGGACAAAAAGCAAGATGGAACCAAAAAATTATTTAACCATTGGTCTAAAAAAGCGAGTCACCGCAAAAAAAGAAATTTTTTTTTAATAATATTTGTTTTGAAATTGATATGTTAACAAGTTGTTCTAGTTATACTAGTTGTACGACTTTTGAAAAAACGCGAGTCACAAAAAAAAATATTGCGTTGATGCAAATAATTTATATTTTACTTCAATTATTAAATGAGGTGATGTAAATTGAGTATAACCAATATAATTGATACAAGTAAAACACAAATAAAACTAATACAACTTTTCAATTAATATAGTGATCTTTATTTTGTTTTCAACGTATGGATATGGTATAGAAGAGTATGATGTAGAACCGATAGACATGTTGGTCTAATTTTCCTTCTCATGCATATGTCAAATACATGACTTCAATATTTTTAATAATATTTTATTTAGATAATGGTTTGTTTACAACTTGTACCAGTTATAGTAGTTATACTATTTTCAGAAAAAAATCAGCTTCATCATTTTGCTTTCAAGGCCGAAAAATTTGATGTGGAATCAGAAAATTCTTCAGAAGTGCGAGTCACCTGAAAGAAGAATAAGGAGGGAGCATCAATGACAACTAAGGTTTCCTTTCGGTTCGAATATATAGCTTTTGGGTTTACTTTTGAAAACTTATGTTCTTTATATAATTTATGTTCCTTTTGGTATTAAAACTTATGTTTCTTGTGATGTAAAACTTGTTTTTATATCTTTTGAAACTATCAAAACTTATGTTCCTTTTGAAAATTATATCTTGTATGGAAAAATTATGTTTAGTTTAAATATACATGTATATTGGTATAAGTATAATTAATACAACATATTCAACTAAGCAATAATATTTAAGAATGACACAACTAGTACAACTACTTGGCATTTAGTGTTCAACCAAAATTGTTAAAACATGATCCACATTTAAAACAATATAAATAAAATAACAAATAGTTGTATCAGTTTTTTAGTTGTACCTGACTATACATAGTTGTACTAGTTTGTTAGTTGTACCTGACTATACATAGTTGTACTAGTTTTTGAGTTGTACCAGTTTGTGCATAGTTGTACTTTAGCAGTGAAATCAAAAATATTAGTTGTACCACATAATAAGTGCACTTACCTCAGTTGTACCACTTATTTTTGTTTACATACATTTGCCCAGTTACAATGAAATCATTAAATTTGTAAAAGTACATTTCATATATGTTTTCTAAAAATTATGTGGACAAACAATTTAACAAACCTTAAAATTATGAGATAGATTATCTGAATTTATGGAGTTTTGTAATTATTTATAAAAACAATTTATATAAAACTTCAAATTAGATTAAAGAAACTCTATGAGTTCATAACAATTAGTATATTTGATTGTTTTCTCATATGGAATACCAAACTGATTTTTTCAAATTTTGAAATGTCAAAGTTATACTAGTTGTACCAGTAATACTCATCTAATATATTTTAAAAAAATATATCTATTGTTTATATGTCTAGTTTTTTGAGTTGTACTAATATTTTTACAACATGGTTTTTGTAAGAATATGTCTAATGTTTGTTTTCATAATAATACTGTTAATGTAGTTAATAAGCCTTAAGTATAAAGTATATAATGTAAACTAAGAATGTAATATAATAATTTAACAAAAAAAAATGAAAAAATTTAGAAAAAATAGATGAAATGTTGTCATTATATACCAATTAATATATTTACTTGTATATTTTATGCAATCAGTGTTACGAGGGACCATAGCTACCAATCTTATCTGGTGAATGGGGGTCCTAGCTCCATAACTTATTATGTTATAAATATAAGGTATGTAATGTAAAACTAATGTAACAAAATAATAGTTGTAAGAGTCTTTGAGTTGTATTGGTTTGTACATAGTTGTACTAGTTTTTGAGTTGTAGCAGTTTGTAAATAGTTGTACTAGTTTTTGAGTTATACCCGTTTGTACATAGTTGTACTTTGACAGTGAAATCAAAACAACTAGTTGTACCACATGAAATTTAAACTTACCTCAGTTGGACCACCTTTTTATGTGCATATATGTCTTCGCCCAATACAATGAGATCATCGATTTTGTTAAAATGCATTTCATATATGTTTTCCCAAAAATATGTGGACAAAGAAGTTAACAAACCTTAAAAGTATAAGGTATATCATATAAACTTATGGAGTTGTGTAATAATTTTTAATTTTTTTTTCAAAACTTCAAATATATTAGGAGAAAAAAATCTGATTACATACCACTTTGGATGTTTGATAGTGTTCTCATATGGAATACCAAATTAGTTTGCCAATTTTTGAAATGTCCAAGTTGTACCAGTTGTACCAATAATATTCGTTTAATATATAATAAAAAATCATAACAATTATATCAATTGTTTATATGTTTAATTTTAGAAGTTGTACCAAAATTTTCATAATAATATAGCTAATTTACTTAACATACCTTAAAAATAATATATATATATATATATGTATATATATATATATATATGATGTAAAACTAAGAGTGTAATGTAATAATTTAACAAAAAAAAAATATTTCAAATTAAATAGATGAAATTTTGTCATCAGATACCAATTAGGATATATGTTTGTTTATTTCATATATGTAAAAAATAATTATTAGTCGTTTCAGTTATAGTAGTTGCATATTGTACATGAATTATAACATTTATATATTAGTTATGCTAGTTATATCAATTTTTAACATGTTTAGTTATACGAGTTATACTAGTTGTACCCAGTTTTCTCTTATCATCCGACGGCTCAGATTACATTTCGCATTATCTGATCTAATGGTTCACACTGAACTCTCATTAATGGTAAAATAGTCATTTTACACCCTTTGGTCCATGGTAGATTTTTTTTGGTTGTTGTAGATTAGTTTTTGGTGTTTTGTCCCATAATAGATTTTTGTCCGTTTAAATCCCAGGGTCGGATCTAAACTTGGGAGTATTTAAAGAAAATAAAAATAGCGAGGCCCAGTTAAAAAAAAAAACGAATCGGATCTAAAATCGGGTCAGGTTTAGGAACACGGTATCTATCTCGTGGGAGAATATAGCCGAGAGCTCTTGTCTCTATCCCAAAGCGTGAGAAGGGTGAAAATTCGTTCTCGCCGGAGAATCAATTCGACGGAGAATCGTCTCCGATTACCGGATTCAATCGACGGGTGTTCAAAAAGGACGAGACTTTATGCGATTCCGTTCGTTGTGTTATCAGTTGCTAGGATTAGGGTTTTAAGGGTTGTTCCCGAGAGGACTCGTTGGCTACTGTTGTATGATTCCATAGTGTGTTTCGCTTTTTTATTGGGGCTTTCTGTTTGATTCAGCAAAGCCTTTTGATTTTTTTTTGTATTCTGTATGATCAACACTTTTTCGCCATAGTAATCTTCTCAGAGTCTTTGTTTTTTTTTTTAGCTTTACATTATTCGAATTATTCAGGCAAAGCATCGTTGAGAAAAAAAAAGGATCAATTTTTATGGTCGTGGAATTTAATTGAAACATTGAGAAAAAAAAAGTTAGGAAAAAAAAGAAAGAAAGAAAGTAAGATCGATGGCTAGTGTTCAGCAAAATGGGCAAAGGTTTGGTATTACAGAACCTATCTCTCTGGGAGGACCAACGGAGCTTGATGTGGTCAAGACACGAGAGCTTGAGAAGGTTTTGCCTTTTTATCTCAAAGCTTGTGTTTTGCTGTCGTAAAATAGTGTTGAACTAATGTTTGGTTGTTTAGTATTTGCAAGATGTTGGTTTGTACGAGAGTAAAGAGGAAGCTGTTAGAAGGGAGGAGGTTCTAGGGAGGCTTGATCAGGTTCTTACTACTCTTTTAAGTTTTATGGATTTGTCATTGATGTAAAAAAAACCATTGCTAAGGTCTTTGTTGTTTATGTGTACAGATTGTTAAAACATGGATTAAAACAATCAGCCGGGCCAAAGGGTTGAATGATCAGCTGCTTCATGAGGCCAATGCTGAGATATTTACTTTCGGTTCTTATCGGCTAGGGGTAACCATTAAGATCTATAGAGGACTAACTTTGTGTTACTCATAACTCATTCCTTTTGTAATCCGAATTGGTGAAAGCTGTGTGTTTGTTTGCTGTTGTCTTTAGATGTTCCTGTGTGGAAAATGGCATCACTTGTCTCAAATGCTCTTTTGCGTCATTCAAATATATTGAGATCAATGTTACATCTCTTGTATCGTCTCTGTATGAGCTTTTCAGCCATTTCAATTGTTGATAAATCTCGGGCACATTAGGGTTTTGTTTTTAAAACAGTCAGTGTCCTAGTGAATTCCTCGGCAGTGACATGACTAACATCCATATTCTAGCATATCTAGTGTCCCCATAACAATTTGTTTTACTTCCTCATATAGGTACATGGACCTGGTGCTGATATAGACACTTTATGTGTGGGGCCTAGACATGCAACTAGAGAAGTATTATTAACCTCTTGGCTCTTGCATCTATACGTTGGCCTGAATATAGTTTTAAGTTTTATTTTCTTCTTTAAACTGGCAATAGGGTGATTTCTTTGGTGAGTTACAAAGGATGCTGTCCGAAATGCCTGACGTAACTGAGCTTCACCCTGTGCCTGATGCTCATGTTCCCTTGATGGGATTCAAACTTAATGGAGTTTCCATAGATCTCCTTTATGCACAACTTCCACTCTGGGTTATACCTAAGGTAATTCTGGATTTACGGAGAGGTTGTTGTTTAATTGTTGAGGATTATATTCCTCTGTTTAAACTCATTTCTTCTAGTTAAAATCAAATAGTTTCACGTTGTTTATGCATTTCTCAATATGTTCATGATTTGAATGAATGTTATGAGTGGATCTCCTGGAAGAATCTTAATTTTGTTGCCTGCCTGATTTTTGTGGTGCAGGACTTAGATATATCTCAGGATTCCATTCTACAGAATGCTGATGAGCAAACTGTTCGAAGTCTCAACGGTTGTAGAGTTACTGACCAGATCTTGCGTCTGGTTCCTAACATTGAGGTTTTGTGCTTACTGATGATACATCCCTTACATTTATAAAACTTTATAACTCTCCATGTTAGTTGCTTAGTCGGAATCTATGTTTTATTTATGAGCAGAATTTCAGGACAACATTAAGATGCATGCGGTTTTGGGCCAAGCGACGTGGAGTGTACTCTAATGTATCGATAATTCTTCTCCATAACTCTTTCACTCGATGAATCTCATGTTACTGATGTCAAGTCTTTTTCTGACAATTTCTAGGTCTCTGGATTTCTTGGTGGTATAAACTGGGCATTGCTTGTAGCTCGGATATGTCAACTTTATCCTAACGCACTCCCAAATATGTTAGCATCTCGGTTCTTCAGGGTCTACACTCAATGGCGCTGGCCGAATCCCGTCCTTCTTTGTTCTATGGATGAAGGATCCCTCGGTCTTCAAGTTTGGGATCCTAGAAGAAACCCAAAGGACAGGTTGCACATGATGCCCATCATTACTCCTGCTTATCCTTGTATGAACTCCAGTTATAATGTCTCTGCAAGTACATTGCGGATTATGACAGGAGAGTTTCAGAGAGGCAAAAATATATGTGAGGTAAGATTTTAGATAATCCGAATAGTTTTGGCTTCTATGCAGATTGTGGGACTTATGAGATCTTTTGCAGGCTATGGAAGCAAACAAAGCTGACTGGGATACCCTTTTTGAGCCATTTGCATTCTTTGAAGCGTACAAAAACTATCTTCAGATCGACATCTCTGCCGCAAATGTCGATGATTTAAGAAAATGGAAAGGCTGGGTTGAGTCACGTCTCAGACAGCTCACACTGAAGGTGAAACTCTTTTATATTCTCTGTTGATATAAGAATCACTGGTTATATGACTTGGATGTTTACAATGTATATGCTTAGATTGAGAGACATACATATGACATGCTTCAATGCCACCCTCATCCACATGACTTTCAAGATGCATCTCGACCACTTCATTGCTCTTACTTCATGGGTCTGCAGCGTAACCAAGGAGTTCCAGCAGCCGAAGGAGAGCCGTTTGATATCAGAAGAACAGTCGAGGAGTTTAAACACACTGTTAACGGTTACATGTTGTGGATTCCCGGGATGGAGATTAGTGTCAGCCATATAAAGCGAAGAAGTCTACCGAACTTTGTGTTTCCTGGTGGAATTAGACCTTCACATACCTCTAAAGGAACATGGGACAGCAAACGCCGTGCAGAGCATAGAGTTTCTTCTACAGCAAGTGTTGCTACTACCAATACCACTACATTAACAAATGAAGCGAGTTCTGAAAGTAAAGCTGGTTCTAACAGTCCAGGAGATGAGAAGAAGAGAAAACGGGGAGATGATGAGACACTGACCGATCAGTTAAGAAACTCTAAACACGTTGCAGTTTCAGTACCTGTTGAGAATGGTGAAGGCGGGAGCCCGAATCCATCTGTTGGTTCCATTTGCTCTAGTCCTATGAAAGATTGCTGTACAAACGGTAAATCTGATCTTATCAGTGCCGAGCCACAAGAGAATGTTGTTGTTGCTTTCAGTAAGGATGCACCAGAGAGTCATCCAATAGAGAAGATAGCCACTCCTCAAGCTCCTAGTGAAGAAACAGAGGAGCTTGAAGGCAGCTTTGATTTCGGAAATCAAGTCATTGAGCAGATTCCAAACAAAAACGTTCCTACTGCAACTATACCTCCATTCGAGGTCACTACTTCAAATGGCTCACCATTCTCCAATGAAGCACTGGAAGAACTCGAGGTTCTGTATTTGTTTTTGATACTTAAACTAGTCTCATGATCTTGTTCTTGTCTGATATCTCTTGTTTCTTAAAGGTTCTTCCAATGCGACAGCCTGAGGTGACGCATAGAGCTTCAATGCAGCAACGAAAACCGATAATCAAGTAAGTGTTTTGTATTCTTTACACTCCATTTGAATCTGCATATAGGATTTGCCAACGTTTGCTTGCTTTTTGTTGTCTTGATTATTCACAGATTGAGCTTCACGTCTCTAGGCAAAACCAACGGCAAGTAATAGTGGTTCTTCCCTGCATTACCAAGAACCTCGGATGCTAAACTGAAGGCTGCTTCCTACTTTATGTAAAACAAGAATTTGATATTATCATGCTTTATCTCTTAGATGTTAAGCAAGTCCTAAACGCATTAAGTTCGATGTAAAACTCGTTTTAATAAGAATCATAAAAATACAAGTCTTAAATATTTGAATCCTGTGTCTGTTGTACATCAAGAGCCTAAATGGAAGATCTGGAACATACTCTAACCAAGGTAAGACAAAAGGATGGTAAGATTACATTCTCTTGTGATTGTCTAAAGAATCCAAACCAGACAATTTTATAAAACCAACATGGCAGAGGAATGCTACAACTGGACTATAGCTAAGCTCCAAACATTTTCTGCCTAAGCAACACTCTTTCTGAATCAAATCAACCACACCACTTGTAACTGATTAGGTCCTTTGGGAGCCCAAAACTAGGCACTACAATAAGCCCACAGAATTTGGATTTTCTTTTTTTGGTGTTACCACAGGATTTGCTGTCATTACCAGAAAGCTTCACACCCACGTTTTCTTTTAGGCGTTTTCTTTTAGGCGTTTTCTTTGTCTTTTGTCAAATCTTTACACGTCCTTAATTTTCTAAGTGTTATTTCTCTTTAAAAATATTATAATACAATAAAAGATATTTTTTTGTTTAGTTCTAAAGATAATATAATATTCTATAATTGTTTTTGGTAGATTATATTCTTATTTTTTGACAAAGGGGAGATTATATTCTACAAAAAAAAAGATTATCTTCTATAATTGTTTTTTGTTAGATTATATTCTATAATTTCTTAATACGACATTATATGATAAAAATGATCACAGTAGTTACATACATTAAATATAGTATACATCATTTACATACACTAAGTATAGTATACATCAATATATAATAATATAAAATAAATTAAAAAAATCTATCAGATTTGTTTGTCTTTTTCTAGAAAAAAGTTTTATAAATTAAACGAAAAAATTCTTCTGTCTTGAGGCTTTGCTCTCATCGTCATTTTTAATTCTACAATATCTCACCCTATTAGACTTCCTCTAGACTTCATCACTTTCTGTGCTCCTCCATCGATGGCAGATAATCATCCCAACGATGAGGCTCCTCTCCCAGCCGTCATCCAGAACACTTCATCTCTGAATCAAGATGAAATTTTCTTTTGTAACCCAGAAAGGAGGTTCTTTTCACTGCTATTGTAATACAGTAGTTCCTCTTTCTTGTGTCCCAAGAAAAAAAAACTAATGATATATGCAATAATTTCAGCCCTGGAAGTTGCTTTCTCCTCCCACATGGAACTCGTGTATACAACAAGTTGATTGAATTCATTAAGAAAGAATATCGGAAAAGGGATTACGAAGAGGTTATATATCTTACTTTTTACTCTTTCAATATACTTTGATGAAGGTGTGCACTATGGTTTGCTAAGTTTAATCTTGAATTTGTCTAGGTCATTTCACCAAACATTTACAATATGGAAATATGGGAAGAATCCGAAGATGCTGCAAAGTATAAGGAAAATATGTTCGCATTTGATGTAAGAATTCAACGGAAGCTTCACGCAGTCTTCTTTACTTTGTAACTTGAGGTATATAGGAGAAACTGAAATGACTTTCTATGTTGTTTCTTGCGCAGATTGATAAACAAGAGTTCGGGGTCAAATCTAGCAATGGCCCTGGTCACTGCTTGATTTTCAAACACGGAGTTCGGTCCTATAAAGGTCTTGGCTCCGTTCCTGTAACTGCAGTTTGATATCTTTCTTTATAAATAGACACGTGAACCTTGTTCCTTGTGACTTGTCTACAAGAACATTTTCTTTTTATAAATCTTACTCATGAAGAATGAAAAGTCTGTCGATTATCTTTTCTGACGCCAGCTTCTTGTATGGTATGGTGTGTAGGATTACCCCTTAGACTGGCTGAGTTTGGAGTGTTACATCGAAATGAAGCAAGTGAAGCTCTCAGTGGTTTGACCCATGCCCGACGTTTCCAACAGGTACTTTGCATTCTTATATAGACTTCTCCTGTTTTGCATGGTGCTTTATATACTCCTTTGCATGGTGCTTTTTTTTTTTTGCAGGATGATGCACACATATTCTGTACAAAGGAACAGGTTTGTGTTATTTGTTTTTTTTTATCCAGCAACGTTGTGTTTTATATCCCCTCCAGTTTCTTATTAGACGTATTCTGTCTATGTGCAGGTTGTAAACGAAGTCAAAGATGTATTGTATTTTGTTGACTATGTTTACAAAAAAATTGGCTTTACCTATGAGCTAAATATCTTAACGGTAGGATATTATTAAGCTGGTGATTTCTTCAACCATATCTGATAAGCCTTGTGTGATATGATCCTTGCATGTTTATCTCAATTTCAGAGGTCAGAGGAAATCACTGAAGATTTGCAAAGATGGGAGGAAGGTGAAAATTATCTTGCAGAAGCATTACAAGAATTTGGAAAGCCATTCACTGTAGTAAACTAATTTTCTACTCAAAGCTTATTAGTCACAGAGTATGCATTTGTTGTAATTAATACAGATTGATGTATTCTGCAGGTGAACAGAGGAGAGGGTGCATGGTGTGGCCCAAAGATAGACATAACATTGTCTGATGCAATGAAAAGGAAATTTCAATGTGCTAGTATACAGGTTAGGCTCCCAAAATTCTCTTACTTCTATCCTTTTTTTACTTGCTGGATATCTCTTTCTTTTTTTTATAATCAAAAATTTGTGGATATCTCTTGGTAGGTTATTTAATGTATATTTTTGTTGTTGCTTATATCAGCTGGATTTTAAACTTCCGGCTCTCCGCAAATTGGAATACACAACTAAGGTTGAAGGGGTCATGGAAACACCTGTTATGATACATAGAACGGTGTTGGGATCTATAGAGCTTATGATTGCTATATTGCTAGACCATTACCAAGGAAAATGGCCTTTCTGGCTTAGTCCAAAGCAAGTCATAGTTTGCTCTTCGTCAAACAATGAGAATCAACGTTCCTACGCAGAAGAGGTTTTATAGTCTTGACTGAACACTCCTTATGAGCATTTACAGTTACTTGGAGAGTCTTATCTCTGCCGTTTTTTTTATCCTTTGTATGCAATTATTCAACCAGGTGGGAAGACAGATTCATGACGCTAGGTACCATGTTGATGTTGACATAACAGACAGAAACATCACTGAGAAGGTAACTATTACAAGGTCCCTGAACACAAGCAAATGTTTAGTTATTTCCTGTATACATGCATATTTTGAGTGATGATTTGAATTGTTTTATAGGTGGCAGAAGCTACGATCGCGCAGTACAACTACATACTAGTTGTTGGTGATGAACAAGTTACAACGAGACAGGTTAGAGTTCAGTTATACTTGTTGCTATGTATGATTTGTATAAGCATTAAGCCTCTCTTAAACATTGAATTTTTTGTTTTCAGGTGACTGCTCTGCTAAGAGACTCAAGCTATTTAGACCGTCCAATGATGAGTGTTGACGCTCTGCTCCATGAGCTCAATCAAGCTCAGGATTGTTAAATTTCTTTAAAATTCAATGGGCTAAAACTTATTAGTTAATTTGTTGATCATGTGTTTCTTTATTGGTTTTCATATTGGTTTGTCTTTTACAGTGAAAACCTCTTCAATTAAATCTGTTATGGATATTATCGCATTTAAAAAGTAATATTATGGATGATATATCATATTGTGATTATGTTGTTTATGTTCAATTTTTTCTCAGGATAATTTTGAATCCTTGTTTTTTTTGTAGAAGATTTATAGCTTCTTCTAAAAATTATTAGAGCATAGTCATTAGGAAAAAACTTATAGTCTCTCAACAAAACTGAAATATTAATATTTCAGTTTTGTATTTTTTTTTTTTAAATTGAATCATCAAAATAATGTATGAGTAAGAGCAGTCTTTTAAATGAGTGACTAAGGATTTGACTGGTTACAATGCAATTGCAGTTGCTTGTGTTTGCTAATGCGGGAGATTACAGTTTTAAACGTTAGTAAAAGATTTAGACGATTGGTTCAACGGTTAAATGTTTTTTGCGTTTGCGGGATACTTATGACTGGTTTATTATCAAATACAACAGCGGTTAAATAATAAGTTAACAATATTTTTATTTTATATAATTATCAAAATATTAAAATCATATTTTATAATAAATATACAATTTTTATTGATAAACTACTATTAAGTTTTTTAAAGATTTTAAAAAAAAATTGGAAATTTTATAATATAAATATTTTGGTATTTCTTTATTATAATTTAAAATTTTAATTAATTATTTTATTTTTATATATTTATAGTTTTCTGGAAAAAGAAAATATTTTTTATCATACCGCAATCACCCGCAGCCGTAAACGCTAGCTGTAACCAGCTTTTGAATTTTAAATATTCAAAACGATTTGAAGTGGTTTATAATATTTTCTGTGATTGTTGTAAAACGCTAATAACCGCAAAAGATGCGTTTGTGGGTAATGGTGGGAGAACCAGTCAAGTTGTCACTCTCCTTTTCTATTTTTAGTTCAATTATTTATTTTGATTATGAAAACATGTCTAAGAATTTCGCATTGCATTTTTGAATTATCATAATTTTTTTTGATCCGGAGGCTCCTATATTTTCATAGAACAAAGTAAAAGTTATGTTAAATTAATTATTCTTTGAAAAATAGATCTCTCTCAAAGTGATTCACTTTTCACCACCACAAAATGTATTATCTCCCGGGAGATAATATACACATCTAATCAAGAATTTATACATGTCCTAGCGGGTCTCTTAATCTTATCCAAATTTGATTGATTTCAACATCTTTGTACACTAATCAACTCCCACTTAATTATCTTCCATAAAAAATTAGGTATTTATCCTTTAAGTTATTCTTTCGTATTGTCTTAAACAAAAAAGTGACATACATAGTTAACTCAACGAGGAATTCCTAGCAATCATAATGACATCAATTCCAGAAAAAACAAAGTGGAAGAAAAACTTTCTAAATAAATTAATATAAACTAATCTATTTCGAAAGTAGAAGTATGGTTATAAGTCGTGTCAAGATGTGTGTTCTTCGTCTCCACCTAAGTAAAACGAATTATAATAAAACAAAGGTAGATTTTTGCTACTTTGGATTATATTTCTTGGTGGCTGATAACTACTCCCAACTTAATCATATCTATACTCCAACCTCGATTTCGTCTTTCCGTTATTAACTTATTATACTTCACATTTAAAGAACCTAAAGTAAACCTTGTAAAATTTCTTTTTTACAATTTTCAAAAAAAAAAAAACATTTCTTTACACCTAATTACGTAAAAGATCAGAGCTTCATCATCCTAAGTTATCCGAGTCAAAATAGTCTGCCTATGAAATTATAAATTCATTAGAGAAATTCATTTGGTGATGTATTTTTTTCATCATTAGTGACATGATGTTTTAGGTTAACAACAAAACCTCTTAATGTGCTCTAACTGATTCGTAATGAAACCAAACATATATAAATAAACAATCTTAGATTTGATGTACAAGAAAAGTTGGACTGTCTTTGTTAACATTTGGCTCAAACAAGAGCTCTGACTGATTAGTAAGTTATACATGTCATTAACAGATGATTCACTTTATACTACATGTGTTATGAACTAATTAACATAACCCCTGAGAGGCAGAGTTTCCAACAGATAAAAAGTCGATAAAGGGAACACAATTCTCGTTGTGATTGTGGTTGTCTTCATCAACAATATCTTCTTCGTATTGTTTTGCATTGTCTATCACGTCGGGTTTCTTTGAATCCGTCTTGACTTGGAGAAAATTGTAGAACTCCATTGGTCTTTTGGTTTGGTCTATCGCTCCTGACCAAATCAACGATGTCCCTAAAGTTAATTTTTAGAAGTTTTAAAATTATATAATCGTATTCGTACATATAACCAAGCGTGTGCATATATGCATGTTTACTATACAATCATTTTCGTTTCAAAAATTTATAATCAATATTTGGTGATAAACATGAATACTAATCTATATGAACTAAAAGAAAATGATTTGTTGTTTATCATTTGCATTACTAACTGCACATTTTACAGAAATACGAATTAATGTATACAGTTTATCTAATGGTTATGAGTTTGTGTGAAGGACGTAAACATGTTCTTGTTCATATACGCATCTATCTATCAACATAAACACACAAATTTAAAAGCCATATTGATACAATTACCTTCATTGATTGGAGTAGTATTATTGCAAAACCCGATTTTTCCGCTCAAGAACTCTTTGAGGAACTGAAAATGATTCATATTAGAGAATTGATAAGGATAATTAATAGCGGTTGCGGTTGCGGTTGCCAATCTTTTCTTCTTATCGCAGCCATCATAACCAACCATCGCGGTCGCAGTGCCATCATTGCCAGGGCCACGTGGACGTAGCTTGGACAATTCTCGGCCACGACGAGCCATGATGACGTGCCAATGGTTTTTAACGGCGTTATCGGTTCGACCAGGGAAAAATCTAGCGATCACGGACCATCTGTTCCCATGAATCCGATGAGACGCTAAAAGCCTTTCTTCTTCATCCTCCGTGAAAGGGTTTCGGTTAATTCTAGGATCCAGCTGATTAAACCATCTTAATCTACAACTTTTACCTGAAAATTAAATAAATAAAGTAAATAAATAAAACCAACCCGAATGAACATAAAAATTGTTATCTGAAAGCTTTTTTTTTTTGTTAATATATAAAAGTAAATGATTTTTTGTATATGAAAAGAGAAAATGATTATTACCAGATCGACCAGAGAGCTTCTGAGCTATGGCGTTCCAATTATGAGGACCAAACTGTTCAACGAGTTCTCGAAGCTTCTCATCCTCTGCAGGTCTCCAATGTCCTCGACTACACATCATTTTGAATCTCTTTGAATCTGTGACCTTATGTTAATGATAGAAGAATATATATATATAGATGTATAGATGTTGGAATAAGAAACCCTAGGTTTGATGTAGGTGAGAGAAGATGGGTATGTAGGAACAAGAAGAAAGCTGAAGAGCAACAGCACCATACATACACACACATATATATTATATGGAGAAATGAAAATAATGAATATTATAAGTTTCGTTAGGAGTTTGGAGAGACGTTTTCACCGGCGATTGATGCGAACGTCTTCCCTAACCAAACACACTCCTTTTAAGTAATCTACATTTTAAGCCAATTTTCAAAAAAAAAAAAAAAAAATAATCTACATTTTTATCTTATTTCTCACATATATTTCTTTATTTTTATTTCTAACTAGGTGTTTTGTCCGCACTTGCGGGCATAATTTTCTTATGAATATTTATCCGTTGATGTTTGATTAATATATTACTTATGTTTTCAAAAAGAAAAAATCAAACATCAAATAATTATAAATGACAAAACTCAAACATCAGAAATTTTTTAAATAGTACAGTTCTATAATCATTTTCCTTGATTTATATTTAATTATAATATTTATCCAAATATTTTTACTTAATTTATATTTAATTATAATTTTTATATCTTAATTTTAAATTTTATAATAGAAAAAATATTTTCAGATGAATATACAATGCATAAGTTATTTATTTTCTAAAAATATAATATGAAAAATTTGTTTTAATTATATAATAATTATATAAGATTATAGAAATAAGGACATATGATTACAATTACTTAAATCATGGAGAAATTAACAAATCAACAAATTCACTTCTTAAATAACTTTGCTTTGAGTGATGATTTATATTTAATTAATAATAGATAATTTTCAATTTACTTTTAAATTATATAATATAAAAATATATTCTCAATTACCTTATTTTCTAAAAATATAATATTATTAGTGTAAATTTATTTGAAGTATAGAATAATTACAACTTTTTAAACAGTAATTTTTAATTTTTAATAGAAAAATATATTTTCAAAACAACAACATAATACATAAGAAGTGTCTTATTTTCTAAAAATCTGATACTATTAATATAATTTTTTTTTTAAATATATAATAAATTATATATAAAATTATATAAATTATGATAATTATCAAAGTTACCTAAAATCATGGAAAATATGACAAACCATCAAACATTAAATTCACTTCTTACATAATAGAAAAGACTTCTTACATGTTAATTTCAAATTCTATAGTAAAAAATATATTTTCAAAATAACAACATAATATATAAGAATTAACTTATTTTCTAAAATATCATATTCTTAATATAAATTAGTTTTAATTATATAATCAATAACAAAAAAAAAAATTAAAGAAATTATGAAAAGTGATCAAAATTACCTAGGATCATGGAGAAATTGACAAATCAACAAATTCACTTTTCAAATATTTCTTTTGATGATTTAAATTTAATTATTAATAATATAATATTTATATCTTAATTTTAAATTTTATAATAGGAAATTATAATTTCAACATAACAAAATAATACATAAGAATTATATTATTTTAGAAAAATATAAAATTATTAATACAAATTTGTTTTATTTATATAATAAATATAATAATTTGTATATCTTAATTTAAACTTTAAGTTTTATATATAAAAATTTAGTTCAAGATAACAACCTAAATCACAAAAATTATCTTATTTTTAAAAAATATAATATCATATAAATTAGTTTTATTTTAAATAAATTATATATAAATATTAAAAATATGATAAATAAACAAAAGTACCTAAATTTATGGAGAACATGACAACTAAGCAAATTTACTTCTTAAATAATAGTATAGATAATATATTCCATTACAGATTTCCGTTTATGTGGGATTTTTAGTTGATGAATAATTAAGAAAACAAAAAAGAGAAAATGATTTTTTTAAAGAGAAAATGAAATTACACAGACGGGATCAGAGATTGCTTGGTGCGGTGAATCTTCGTTAACTAAACTTTCAACGTCTACGTACTCTTAAATATATATTTTTCTTTTTTCTAACCTAAACTCTCTACTTCAGCTACCAATCCTTCAATCTACGTTTGTGTACTCTTCTGCAAGATACATAACCGTATATTTGTGCAATTTTTTAGACTCCACAACTTTTCATATGTGGACAACTTCTAGAACATGATTCAAGATGGGATGTACGTACTACAATCTATGGAACAACGAATATACATTTACGTTTCAGACGTTGTATGTATGTTTGCTTTTGTCGAAGTAGTTGTATATTTTTTGCTTTTATATGCCAAAAATACTTACATTAGATTAAAATATACAATTAAATGCGATGATGTATTTTTCTTTACTAACGTGGGGTATCCAGACTTATGGAATGGCTAAACTAATCTCCAAAGAAAAATGTAAACCACAGATAAATCAGGTCTTCGGATATGCAAATGGATCATAAATAGGAATCCATATCTGTATACATATCTAGAATAATGTGATTTAGCTTCATGTAGCAAGTGGATCGAATTTAAAATGTGTTTGCGTCTCAAATCCTTTTTTTCCTTATCTCCCGACCACAAGTTCCAGACAAATATTTTATTTTAAGTTTATAATCTTTAGAAAATGAAGAAAAACTTAAGTGTTTTTTTTATAGGAATACAAAAACTAAGAAAGAGATAAAGAATCGTTAAATATTTTCATGTATATTTTTTTCATATATAGTTTCTCATAATATAGCACAAATATTAATTTATGTGAAAATATTTTTCAGTTTTACTGAGTTATGTTTTTTATTGTTACTGTATTGAATTAATCTTACATTTCCACAAATGGACAATAGCAAGTAAAAACATGGGACAGTGGAACGTTTGTTATTCCAGGATTTGTGGGTATCAAACTTGATGAATAGATTCCAACCGTACTGCCTTTGGTATAACTAATGTACTATTTAAAGTCATTAACTGCTTTTCTAACTTCCGAAGATATCAACACATGTTTTTTTTAAAGATTGAAAACTGGTGGGGAAGGAGATGGTTTGGTAAAGCTGTTGGGGACCGGAGGCTTAATTGCAGGTCACGTATAATAAATCATAAAATATCTTATGAATATATATGTTTTGTTAACCTTTCAAACCTACCCAAATGCTTCTTTTGCTTAAATCGGGCCAGCGAGGAAACCCTAAAACGACTGTGTGTCTTCATTAATTAATTGGCTAGCTGATTGATATATCAGTGGCTTTATACTTTATAAAAACAAAAAAGATTGTTGACAAGTCGTTGCATCTTATTTGCTCGGACATTTGGTCTCGAAGCACATCACTACTTACTTTAAATATCTCTTGTCTACGGCGGTTAGTACTCTCATCAGCCCTTTAAATAAAAAGGAGAACGATGTTTAAAAATAATTAGTAACTACAACATGAAACTTGTGTTCATCACGGTTTCTAACTTTCTATTTTCAACATATGTCCCGAAAAAGGTGAGATATATTGTACTTTAAACTTTCCTTGGGATTGCTTGCAAAACTGTTTATAGGTTATATTTTAAGGATTGACTGAAAATATAGCTTTAAATCCAATCAACTAATCAATTAAGTCCTAGGTACGTAAGTCATAATCAAATTGTTTTAGATCTCACTTGCACGTGTGGAGGAACAAAACCAAAACTAATTACTGGTGAAGTTTAGTAGGAAAATAGGTAGAGTTAGTTTGGAAAGGGAGTCAATCAATACACTCTACCATATTTCATAACTAAAACCTATTAACATTTCTTCTAATGTTCAGAAGCAAACCAGAACCTGATTCATTACACTAAACCGGTCCAGGTCCTTGATTAACACACAAACGCACCGCAATAGAACGCGACGCGGTAATCGATATGATTTAAAGCCTCGAACTGAAAAAACTTGAGAAGCGATTAAGCTAACGGGTTATTAGATAACTAGTATTATGGCCCTTGCTATGCAAGGGAAAAATGATTATCAAATTACAGATGAAAAAACATTTCATTCGTTACCATTGTTTACAATTTGAATGAATACAGAAATGAACACTTAATAGTTGACAACACAAAACTTTTGACGGAGCGTAGCGTTAAAAAAAAGACAGAGTGTTAGACATTTGATCACCATAATTGTTAGATCTTGAGGAGTTGATTTCTTCTTCTTCCAACTTCCACGTCTTACATGCGTAAATATTTTCGACTTAAATGAATATATGTGTTTGAAAATTTGTGTGTTTTACATGAAACTAATAGCTTACAGTTTTTCTGATTTTTTAAAGGTGGAGTTTTCAATTTATTTAGATGTAAAAGAAGTGGAAGTAGTGGGAAGGTAAAGATAGTGGAAGAAAAATTTCGGTAACAGAAATGACAAAAAATTTTTGTAACGGAAGAATTAAAAAAAATTAGACAATAAATAACTTTCTTAGAACAATACAAAAGAAAAACTGTTTTAACAAAAAAAATCAAAAGAGACGTGTCACTCTTAAAATTGTCAATTGACTTCTGTTTCATTGTATAAAAGATGTTGCACAAGAGCCCATTAAAATGAGAACGCCCATCTAAGTTTGGGCCTTGGCAGGCCATAATTTTACAAAATCCAACGGTAGAGATTGAGGCTTCTTTATAGATAGTACGATGTCAACCGTTGGATTAAAAGAAGAGGTTGGCTCCCAATAGCATATAATTAAAAATGCAAAACCCTCTCTGCGCCGCCCATCACTCATCACCTTCCACTCTTCCAAGAACAGAGAACCCTAATCATCAAATCTCAAGGTAAATCCACCGCTTTAGGTTCCCTATAGTTCATTTTCTCGATTTGTTTCTCTTCTTTATGGATTTAGGATGAGTGTTTTTCGCTGTTTAATTGAAAAAGAGTATATTTTGTATTTTTAGATTAAGCTAGTATTCAAGTTTTGTACTTTACTGATTGTGTCTAGTGTTGTAACAAAAGATTCACTATGTTCTCATTGATTTCTTGTATAAAATGAAGGTTTTTGTGAATCTATAATCCATAGTTCTAATTAGCAATATATAAGATGATTATTGAAGTTGGTTTTGTATGTGTGTGTTTGCACAGATGAATCGGGAGAAGTTGATGAAGATGGCTAACACTGTCCGCACTGGCGGAAAGGGTACAGTTAGAAGGTAAAAAAGTTTGTCTCTTTCCCCATTTTTTTACTTTGGTTTCTGTTTTTACTGATTGTTGTTTATTTTCTCACTGCAGAAAGAAGAAGGCTGTGCACAAGACCAATACAACTGATGACAAGAAGCTCCAAAGCACTCTCAAGAGAATCGGTGTTAATTCAATCCCAGCTATTGAAGAAGTTAACATCTTTAAGGATGATGTTGTTATTCAATTCACCAACCCCAAGGGTAAAAAATATTCTTGATTTACCATTTTTGTTTCTTTGTAAAACCTTTGTCCATGTTACTGATTGATCATTGTGTGTTTACTTTTTAACTACAGTTCAAGCTTCAGTTGCTGCAAACACATGGGTTGTTAGCGGCTCTCCTCAGACCAAAAGTATGTATATTTTCATCTCTATTTATCTTCATCTTCTTTTCAACCTTTTATTAATATAAAGCTTGTTGATTTTCTGTAGAATTGGAAGATATTCTTCCTCAGATTTTCAGTCAACTCGGTATGTTTCCAATGTTATTGAAACCGTTACATGTTCTTCCCCAACTAAATCCCAAGTCAAAGTTCATTAAACTATGTTTCTATTTCAGGACCAGACAACATGGAAAATCTGAAGAAGTTAGCAGAGCAGCTCAAGAAGCAACCTCCTCCTGGTTCAGCAACCGTTCAAGAGGATGACGACGATGATGTCCCAGATCTTGTAGCTGGTGAGACATTCGAAGCTGCTGCTGCTGCTGAAGAGAAAGTAGCTGCTGCTGCTTCTTCTTAGAGAGAAAAGAGCGAGATCACAACAACAAAAGAATTTGATGCACTCTATTACACATCTTTTTGTTTGTTTGCTCCGTTGTTGTAGTGTTTAAAGTTTTTTTGACCAGATATTTTTGTCCTCAAGATAATTATTTAAAGTTTTTATCCAATTGTTTGATGTTCTAAAGCCCTTTTGATTATATGTTCTTGCAAGTTTGGTTACCATTTTATTAAAGTGTTGAAATAACGAGTATGCATGCATTAGATCTTCTGAACCACCATTTAATATACAATCACTCAAATATAATATAAAATATTTTTTTTTAATAATACAACATAAACTATTTTTATACAAAGATGATTATCAAATCAATAAATTATATATGACATTATTAAAAATGACAAATATGCAAAATTATTTAAAATTATGGAAAAGTTGACAATTAAGCAAATTTACTTCGTAAATAATAGTATAGACCAAGGAAAAAAAATCTTGGTTGGAAATTTTAAAATATTTCTTTAGTTTTTGAATTTAATTCTATTTTTAAATCTTTAGTATCACGTTAGTTATATTATTAAACATTATCTTAACTTATATCTCTCTTTTGTTTCCCCCTTGTCCTTTTTTGTATAACTGACATGAACAACCAACCACGACGCCACGAATCTCCTCTTGATTCCTTCACAAGAAACCTTCAACCGCATCGCTTCCAGCTTCCCGGAGAAGATGTTAGGCTTCGTCTTCCTCTCTGGTGTCTTCCTCGGAATCATCGCCATCTTAGCTGCCGAAGCTGCGGCATTAATGTATCTCGTGAACCGATTGAAACGAAAGATAGATTCAAAACCATCCCCTGATCAATCCACCAATGACATCATCACCATTCCTCTAACCGATCTCTCCCTCAACAAACAGGTGATCAAATCTCAATTCCTCCATAATCCGTTTGAAAAAATTTGAATTCTAGGGCTAATTTGGACATTTTTGATGTTGTTTGTGATGATAGGGAATGGTTTGGATTCTGGAGGTGGATGAAGGTGTGAAGAACTGGTGGAAGGAGAAGTTACCTAAAGAGAATAAGAGGAAGAGAGATTTCTTGGATGTTCATCCTCTTCGAAAATTCGCGAGGATTAAAGATCATAAGCTGATCTTATCAGATGGTTGTGATAGCACTCAGGTTGCAGTTTCTTTAAAATGTTGCTCTATTGAAGCTGTTTCAGGGTCTCATCTCCCTGCAAGAAAATGGTATCTGCTCTTATCTATGGCTGTAAAATGGTAACACCATGAAATGGAATTTAATGGAATAAAAGATGAATGGAATTGGTTAAAAATGGAATATATTCATTTCATTTATTCGGAATCAAAATTGTAGAGGAGGAATATTTTGCTTTGTAGTTTTTTTGGAATGGTTGAGGAATTTTGATGGAATGAGTATGGAATAAGTCATTTCATATTCATTCTTTTCAAAAAAAAGTAACAATTCAATTGCAGCCTATGATTGTGAAACTTTGGTAGACACAGTCACACAGGTTCTTGATTATGACTTTTTTTGTTCCATTTCTTAGGGCCAAAAGATATCCTATAAAAGTTGAAAGTAAGGTTTCTTCAGATTTATACAAAGGAAACAAGGTGTTTTACATCTATCTCGAGACTTCTTGGGAGAAGGAATCATGGTGTAAAGCTCTTCGTCTTGCTGCTTGCGAGAATCCGGAGAGGTTTATTTGGTACTCTACCAAATTGCAACAGGAGTTTCGTAGTTACGTGACGTCTCTCAATGTTGCATATCATTCGTTTATGAAACCATCCGCTAGATTTTGTTTTGAGACGTTTGACAAAGGGAACAACAGAACGGATGGTTCTTCTTCAAAGGTTCGTTTGTTCTTGAAGAAGTTTTCAAGGAAGCGATCACACCGAAAAGACAGGAGAGACTCTGTGGGTTCGTACCAAGATTTACAACATGGAAGTATTAGCTCAGGGAGGAGCGGTTCAGGGAGGAGGATGGGAGATTACAACGTAGATGAAGCTGATGTGCCTATCTTTTCACGTTCTGTGAGTCATAGCAGCAGTCATATCTCTGGGGTTTCAGATGGAGACTCTGAAGAGAAGTTTGAGATGGATGAAGGAACATTGGCGTGGAATTTGATAATCTCTAGGCTGTTTTTCGATCTTAAACAGAAAACAGGAGTGAAGAGCTTAGTGCAAGCACGAATCCAGGTCTGCATTTTTAATGATTAATGAAAAGCTTTAATGAACTCAAACTTTGCTGTATCTTTGTTGTTTTAAAACAGCGGGTGTTATCCAGCATGAGGACTCCAAGTTACATAGGAGAACTAATCTGCTCAGATGTTGACACTGGAAACCTCCCACCTCATATACATGGTACTCGAGTTCTTCCAATGGAGATGAGTGGTGTATGGGCATTCGAACTAGATATTGAATACTCTGGTGAAGCGGTGATTGAGGTTGAAACACGGGTTGACATACGTGAGGTGGATCTGCAAAAAGGTATATCTGACGCAAGGCTGCAGCCAAGTTCTGCAGGGGAAGTCACGCCAAACAATGTTGAAGATTTTGAAAAGCAATTATTACAAAATGGTGGTTCCAATAAAACAGGCTAGTTCATTGTTTTACCTACAGAGTTCTTGCTAAAGACTACGACTGTTCTTACCATTTTTTTGGTTGGTTGCAGATGAATCCAAGGGATCAAAAGGAACAAAGACATCTCCAAATGGTGTATCCAGGTGGAAGTCTATTATTAAGAACATTGCTGAACAAGTTTCCCAGGTTGATTCTGCTTTTTTTTTTCAAATGTCTACAAGACAATTCTTTCTTGCTAGTTGGATTTGTTATAACTTTTCCCTAAGCTCTTATGAAAACTTTGCTCTTAGATTGTCTCTGTTTCTCAATTTCAGGTGCCTATCTCTTTGTCAATACGAGTGTCTTCTCTTCGAGGGACACTGCGAGTACACCTGAAGCAGCCTCCTTCTAATCAGTTATGGTTTGGATTCACGAGTATGCCCGAAATAGAATTCGACCTCGCATCTTCTGTTGGGGAACACAAAATCACCAACAGCCATGTTGCTATGTTCTTGATCAACCGGTTTAAGGTACACACACCTTCCACCCACCCTTTGGGGTCTCTTCTCTTTGGGTCCTAGTGAACTAAACATTATGATTCTGCAGTCGGCAATACGAGAAACAGTGGTTCTTCCAAACTGTGAAAGCCTAACGATTCCTTGGATGATTGCTGAAAAAGATGATTGGGTCCAACGCAATGCTGCTCCATTCATGTGGATGAATCAAGAAAGCGATCACAATAGCTCACATGCAACAACAGAAGGGAAATCTAAATCTGACAAGCCACCAACTTCTTCTTCTTCTTCCTCTGTTCACTCTGAGCAAATGCATAAAACTCCAAACGTTACTCAGAAGCCGATTGTTCCTGAAGTTTCTTCCTCCTGTGCTCAGTCTGAACAAGTGCAGGAAGCTGCCAGTGCCATCGAGAAACCGAATACTGAAGCAGAAGCTACGTTTACACCATTGTCTAGATCCACCACAACTGTTACATTATCAAGTGACAAATCCCTGGAGGAACTGAAAACTCCATTACTGCGACCCAGCAACAGTGAAAAGCAGTATACAAACTCAAGAGACATGGCCGGAGAGATGACTGCTGCTCAGTCACCATCTAGGTCAATACATTCAAGCGAAGAAGATGATTCAAGCGGAAAGAAACTGGGAAGGAGAGCAAGGATGCTGGGTCTTGGGAAGAAAATGGGGGAGAAGTTGGAGGAGAAGAGGCGTCACATGGAGGAAAAGAGTAGACAGATTGTTGAAAAGATGAGAGGACCTTCTTAACATAGAGAAGGAGAAGAAGCTTTTTTGCAGGTTTTCAAATACATAAAACTAATTTATAGAAACAGAGTAAGTTCAGCATTGTTACATGTACATAGAAAACCATCAATGCCTCCATTTTTATCCTTTATTATTGTTAAGGTAAATTACAAGAAAGCAGGTACTGGTCTGAACTCAATTATTATACATATAAAAAAAAAGATACAAACAACACAAGTAAAAGAGATTCTTGATACAAAGAGAGAGAGAACCTTTCACATGAAACCTTGGTCCGGTTTAGTAATCTTCCGGAGCCAATGGTTGGTGTGTACTATGGCGAGGAGGAGGAGGTTCGTTCACGTTTGGGATGATCATGTACTCATAGATAAGTGCTGCGAGTGCACCGCCAATGAAAGGACCAACCCAATAGATCCAATGGTTATGCCATCTCCATCCAACTAGTGATGGACCAAAGGCTCTCGCTGGATTCATTGATGCACCTTCGAATGGTCCACCTACCAACATGTTTGCCCCGACAATGAGCCCGATAGCTAGTGGCGCTATGATCCCAATGCTCCCTCTCTTTGGATCAATTACGGTTGAGTAGAAGACATATACCAAGGCGAATGTAAGTATGATCTCCATCAATAGCCCATGAAGCTCACTGACTCCAGACGCTACATGGAAACCTATTGGTCTCTGCAAAGGGAACCGTATACAAAACTTAGACGATCATATATTCATAAAACTGAGATTGGAGAGAAAGTTTTATACCGAGCCATTAGTGGAAAGCCTCAACAAGAGACAAGCGAGGATAGCACCAAGAAGCTGAGCAATCCAATAGTAGATAGCTCGGATCACTGAGATCCTGCCTCCGACTAGAGCAGCAAAAGTGACTGCCGGGTTGACGTGACCACCAGAGACATTGATGGCCGCAGAAACAGCTGCGAACAAGGCCAATGCATGAGCTAATGCCACCAAAACTAAGCCTCCTGGCGTGTCAGTTCCCGTGTGAGCCGCAGTGTCCCAATACAACTTGTCTGTCCAATAACACATATTTAGTTCAAATCACCAATGCATGAGGATGCATGGTTCGAACCAAAATATTAATTATCGAATGAATTCTATATTTCTTGTTAGTATAGTCTTTTTTTTACTTACCCAACAAAAAAAAAATCTTGATAAACCCATAAAAGTATATATAAATAAGTTTGTGAAGTGTTGATTAAAACTTTTTTTAAAAAGATGGCAATTATATTTGGCTCGAAATGTTTTTCTTTTGTCGAATGTTTCTTTTGTATACCTAGAGAGAGGATGGAGCCTTCTCCAGCAAAGACGAAGACAAAAGTGGAAAGAAACTCGGCCAAAGTGGCTCTTATGGAGTCAGGATGAGACGCCTCGTCAGCTCTCCCGAATCCATATGTTCTTCTAGCATATGTTGCCATTTATAACCCTTATTTAAATTGATTGAGAAGATCGAACCTAGATGACTGATAAAGAAGAAGAGAAGAAAAGGCAGGAGAAGAAGAGTTCAAAAGACAAAGCTTAAAAGAAGCAAATGTGGAAGTAACTTGGGAGACAGATGTTATATGAGAATGTCTGAAGCTGAGCACGTGGATTCTGTTCGTGTCTATCTATTCATCGACCTTACCTGATCCTCTAGTGTATATGTGTTTGAATTATCCTTGTTGTGACTATACATATTCTATGCATGTGTGACAAGTGGTTCAATTTATATAGTTCTCTAAATATTGGATCCGGTTTCAGCTTTCCTCATCTTTTTATATGAGGTAGTCTAATTGAAAGTACACTCGATCACTTGCTTTCCTTTTTCTGTTACACACGTGTTTATCTTGGTAAATAACTTAAGTATAACTTGATAATTACGTATATCTAGTAAATATCTAAATATACGTGATTTAGGAAATTATCCAAATATGTATTTATCTATTGAGTTTAGGAGTTATCTAATCCTCTATATAAGGAGATGCCAATAGCCTGGGCATAACTTGTGAGATTATAAGTTATTTTCCTTAAGCTAATAATAAGATAACTAAAAGCCCTAGAGAAACCCTAGATCCCTGTTACGGTTCAAAGTTGAGAAACGGGAATGTCTTCTGATCACAAGCAAACCAACCCAATGACGGCTGCTAAACATCCCAAGTTAAAGGTCAGCTTAAACTCAATTTCAAAGCCTGAAGTTGAAAACTCGATGCAGAAGCTTATGTCTCATGAGCTAAATAATCTGCTTACGGAGTTGATGAAGCATGAGTATGGATGGGTGTTCAGCCACCCATTAGATGGTACAGAACTTGGCATTGATGATTACCTCACCATTGTTAAAAAGCCTATGGATTTGCGTACCGTGAGAGCTAAGTTAGGGCAGAATTTGTATACCTCAGCGTTGGATTTCGCTGAAGATGTGAGACTTACTTTTAACAATGCCATGTTGTATTGTCCAGTAGGGCATGATGTTCATATTATGGCTGAGTCTCTGTTGAGGTTTTTTGAAGAGAAGTGCATTCTTATTGAAATCCAGTTTGATAATCTTCTTAGGAAGGGTAAACCAGTGAAACCTGAAACTGTCACTACTACTACCATTGAGAAGCCTAGGGAAGAAGAGGAGGCTCCTGTTGATGATAGTAGGGACCTTACGCTTGATGAGAAACGGAGACTCTATGAAGAGATTCAAAGCTTGCCTTATGATAAGATAGATACAGTTGTTCAGATTATAAAGAAGAGTAGTCCGGAACTATCTCTTCTGCAGGATTATGAGATTAAGTTGGATATTGAAAGTCTTGATATGCAAACACTTTGGGAGCTTTATAGATTTGTGAGTGAGTATAAGGAGAGCTTGAGTAAAAGAAAACAGAATCAGGGGTTTGGTTCTGAAAGAGATCCTGAATCTGCTCACGACATTAACCAAGACCCGGTAAGTTTTCCTTACATAGCTTAATTTTTATTTGATTTCAAGTCTTTATGCTCTTATTTAATTTGGCTCATATCATTGTTTCTTATTTTACTTTCACAGAATTTTGTAGACTACTGTAGCTACTGGCATAGAAACTTCAAGAGGTAATGAAACAGGTAACGTTTTAGCTTGTAAGGTCATACCAAATTCATGCAGTTCGTTTTTATTTAAACACAAAAAAAGAAAATCACCAATGGAATAATGTTATGAAACTCTGTGTCAGCTATTTTGACGTTATCAGTATCACTAACTCACATCACTTTTTTCTTCTTGATCTGCAGATTCTGACAGTGGCAGCTCCTCGTGACGTGGATCAGATACTAGCAATTAGGGCCAACGAGTCAACAAAGTGTTTAGTTTTAGAGTCAGATTGTTTTCTATATTAGGATTTTTTTTATGTCTTCGTCTCGTGTCACTGATTTAATAAACATGCTTCTTCCATTGGGTCTTCATTGGAACAATTGTTTAGAGCAGTAAATGAAACTAGAGGGGATAAGAACCAGATTTGGATCTTGATACATACACAAGAACCTCACAGAAAAACAGAACAGTAAAAAGCCTGTATAGTGAGGTCACACAACCTTTATATATTACATTAGCTCCCACTCAGAATCTTCTGATACCAATTGGCACATTCGTCTCTGAGCTTTAGGGGTCTTGGAGATGTTGTCGCATGGTTCTTAGTGTTCATCATATCACAACTTATTATGTCTGCATCTCCGAACTGTTACTGTATGATTCTCAGATCTTCCAAGGTTGCTAAATGTATCTAAATTCGGTTTCCATTTATTCCAAGTAAAATGTACTGAGCATCATCTCCTTATCATAATGTTTTTGCAGAAAGAAAAACAAAGTACAAAGAATTATTTTACTTAGGATAACTGGCGAAATTAATTATTTAAAAGTAAGTACTAATGATAATTTAAACATATTGTCCATCATATAAGAGTTAGCAAGCACACACACCTCCACAACTGACCAATGATGTAATCCGAAAACACATGTGACCGCCCACTCATATTTTACTCGTCTGAATAAAAAATTATCACTAGCGGATAACTCTTAACGATAAACGATGATACTAGTATTAAGCCTGACATTAACTTATTTAATCTGTTTCGGTCCCGAAAAATGATCGTAATTCCAATTTTACCCTTCTAAAGAGAGAGAGAAGGCGTTTTTCTTCCCTCGTTCCTCAAATTTCTAGAGAGAGAGAGAGAGATTAATCATCGATCAAAGTGCTTATGGAATGGAATGTGAATCGATGGTTGTGATGATTAGATGATTCGATCTTCGTCTCGTTGATTAAGAACCTCAGATTCTCTGTTTTTTTTTTTTTTTTTTAATTTGGATTATCTACGACGCCAATGAAGGGTACATCTTCTTCCTCCGCCGCAGCTACTCCGTCTCTAGAGTGGAGATTCTCTCAGGTCTTCGGCGAGCGAACGGCCGGAGAAGAAGTCCAGGAAGGTAATCAATTGCAGTTTAGAGATAAATTGTGAAAATGATTTTTTAGATCCGGAGAAAGGTGTTTTTGAGGACTCTAATGATTTTGATTTTTGGATCTGATTTTGGATGATAGTGATTATTACTCTACTGCTGCTGCTTAGTAGAGTTTCTAAGCTGTTATGACTTTTTAGGAGGTGTTATCTTGTTACTGTAGCAAGTTTTTACCTTCTTTTATGTTAGTGAGAAGAGTATTCGAGCTGGATTTAATGGTTTTAATGTGTTTAGCTCTTACAATTTTAGTTATGGATTACTTATGTGGCGTTTTTTGTTTGTACAATGCAGTTGATATCATTTCAGCGATTGAGTTTGATAAAAGTGGAGATCATCTTGCTACTGGTGACCGTGGGGGACGAGTTGTTCTTTTTGAGAGGACTGATACTAAAGATGTGCGTTCTCTTTCTCTTCTGAGAGATTTTACTTTAACCTTGTTTTGTGCTGTAATGCATTATTGTGCGATGTTATTTTCAGCAAGGTGGATCCAGGAGGGATGTTGAGGAGATGGATTACGCAATTAGGCATCCTGAGTTTCGGTATAAAACGGAATTTCAGAGTCATGAACCAGAGGTACATTTAAGACTCCACCACCAGATTTTCACTTACGAATTAGCGTGTTTCTAGTGCTGCAAAAGTAATATCGCTCTCCAATATCTTTCAGTTTGACTACCTCAAGAGTTTGGAAATAGAGGAGAAAATCAACAAAATTAGATGGTGTCAGCCAGCAAATGGTGCATTGTTTCTGCTTTCCACAAATGATAAAACCATCAAATACTGGAAGGTGTGACCTCTGGATCGGCTCTTATCTTATTTCAAAATGTATTAGGTGAAAATGGTCTAGAAACTGGTTGGCTATGCTTCCTAGACTCCATTAAAAAAAGGATGAATTGATTTTTACCTTTCCACTCATTTTTTGATCAAACAGGTACAAGAGAAGAAGATCAAGAAAATTTCTGAAATGAATATTGATCCGTCGACAGCTTTAGAAGTGTGTCGACCAAATCCACGTAGCCCTCCTCAGTTAGTTGCTAATGGAATAGATGACTACCTGAGCAAGGACTTCCCATTTCCTCCAGGAGGCATTCCATCTCTGCGTTTGCCTATGGTAGTTGTTCTCGATACAATATATATTTTTCTTCTTCTTTGTTGTCAAATGAAGTGAGTTTCAGGCTTCTGAAAATTAAAGGCATATACATATCCAGTATCCCACTATATTTCTTTTGGTGTGTCCAGTAAAAACAGTTGATCCAATAATCTTTTTGATTGCTTTTACTTTGAGACTAGACTGTGTGGATGTATGCATCGTGTTGATGATCCTACTAGGAAATTTACTAGTTACCTTTTTCCGCTTGTCTGTCGTAAGTAGAGCTCAGTACCAACTTGTGTCACGCATTAGTCAATCGATACTTTTCTTGGAATAATGGGTTGTTCTGCATATTTAGGTGACTAGCCAGGAGACCAGCCTTGTGGCCAGATGCCGAAGAGTGTATGCGCATGCTCATGATTACCATATTAATTCAATCTCAAATAGCAGGTAATTTTTTTTTCTAATTTTTTCCTCAGGATATCTTATAGACCACCTTCTTACTGTATTTTCTCCTTTATTTTCCATACCACGAAGCAATGCTAATATCTGAAATATGTTTTAGAATTTGTTTTGACACCTCTTTTCACCTCTCCTAGTGCTGCCATTCTCATTATCGGATTTAGTTGATCTTAAATTTCACTACGTGTACATGAATGCCTTATAATGCATTATTTTGTTCCTTGCGATGATGTATTGTTCCCCTAATTTTTGAAGCGATGGAGAAACCTTCATTTCGGCTGATGATCTGCGAGTAAATCTCTGGAATTTGGAAATCAGCAACCAGAGTTTCAATATCGTTGATGTTAAGCCCACAAACATGGAGGACTTAACTGGTATGCTTTTTTCCGTTATTTTGTTTGAAGTTATATCTGTTATTGTCTTTGAATTGTTGCATATGTTTACAACCTCTTTTATTTGAAGCTCTCCTTTTTCTTTTACTACATAAAACATTTTGCTTGTTGACCATGTTTTGAATACTACGTGGTCTCTGCAGAGGTTATTACATCAGCTGAGTTTCATCCAATCCATTGTAATATGCTCGCATATAGCAGTTCAAAAGGGTCCATCCGTTTGATTGATATGAGGCAATCTGCTCTGTGTGATTCTCATACAAAATTGTAAGTTGTGTTCTCTTCATATTTTATCAAAAGGTATTTTTTTCTGGATATGTAGTGTGGGGCTTGATATGTGCTTAACTCAGACGAAATTCTAAACAAGAAGGTGATATAAATATATAAGTAGGGAATGTCAGAAATTACTATGAAGTGAAGATTATTAGGCTAGCTTCAGACCATTGACAATTGTTACTTCCTATCACAGGTTTGAAGAACCGGAAGCACCTGGTTCAAGATCATTTTTCACAGAGATAATTGCCTCAATTTCAGATATTAAATTCTCAAGGGATGGGAGATACATACTTAGTCGCGATTACATGACCCTCAAGGTTGGAAATCATCTGATTTTGTTTTCTGATAGTGGACTAATATAGGTGTATCCTTCAGTATTTTCTGATATATGCCCTTTCTGACGTTTCAGCTGTGGGACATAAACATGGACTCTGGTCCAGTTGCATCTTACCAGGTTCATGAACATCTGAGACCCAAGGTGAGAGCTTCTTTCTGTGGGCATCTCTCATTTGATGATTTTCTCGTGAACACTAATCACATTATGTTTTATCCCGCTGCAGCTATGCGATTTATATGAAAATGACTCCATCTTTGATAAATTCGAGTGTTGTCTGAGTGGTGATGGATTGAGGGTAGCAACAGGCTCTTACAGGTTTGATTGCTTGTCTTCTGGTCAATTCAATAATCAATACTATCTCATCTTATGTAAGAGATGAACAAATGACAAAATTTATTATGCGTGAAACCAGCAATCTTTTCCGCGTATTTGGAACATCTCACGGAAGTACTGAAGCTGCAACATTGGAAGCTAGCAAAAACCCAACGAGGTAAATCAAAAAACAGAAAACATTGATTGTTAAATCCTAAGTCAATAGAAGTTTATATTGATCAATTTCAAATCATTGGCTTACGTTAGGAGGCAAATCCAGACAACTGCAAGACCTTCCAGATCTATGACCAGTATGGTTAGACGAGGTTAGTGGTGGTGGTCACAGTAAAAAACTCATTCAAGCATTTACTGTTTTCTTGTGGAGTGAAAATTTGTGTTTGGGGATGCAGGATCAGAGAGTCCTGGAGCTGAGAATGGGAACGCAAACGATTTTACAAATAAGTTGCTGCATATGGCTTGGCACCCAACAGAGAACTCAATTGCTTGTGCAGCAGCAAACAGCTTGTACATGTATTATGCATGAAACTGGAGATAGAGAGAAGAAAAAAAAAAACATGGAACGAGCTAGCTCCAGTTTTAACTTTCTCCTTTTTCTGGTCTCTATCTTTTCTTTCTTTCTCTCTTTTTAACTACCAAAGTGATGATGTAACCAGAAAAGGTGTAGTAGTAACAGAGTTATACTATGACCAAGATCAAACACTGACCAGTCACTGCTACGCAGTCCATGGAAGAAGCAGCATTATAATCTTTCAGGAGTTAGAAGGTACAAAATGTTGGGGAAGAAAAGAAGAGACCTTGTTGCGAAGTATATTTTCTTTTAGTTTCGATTCTACTAAGAAACAGCTTATGGTGTCTGGGATTTTCTTAGGATGAGACAATCGGGACGGTTGTGCTTCAAATTTGTTTATTGATTCTTTTCTCATATCTTCTTTTTCTTGAACACACCTTGGTCTCCATGTCCCCTTTTCAATTGTATTTTCAGACCCCTTTTTGTGATGTTTACCAATAAAAAGTAGTTGTATCCTCAGATCTTCAATAGTATAGACAATATTATGATATTATCACTTACTGTGTGTGTGTTTTGAGTTTAGTATATGACGCACACACAACTCTAATCTACAAGGCAGAGATGTCTCTTTAAATATGGAGAGGATATAGTATGGAGAATGTGTATGAATCCCTACCTTCCCAAAGTAGTGCAGAGAGCAACATAATATGGCCGGCACGTGACAATAGACAGAAGAACGTTATTTGTGTTTTTTTCGCCGGATCGGTTATGGGACAGCCGAACGAAACATCCGGTTGAGTCTTCAGATTTCAAATGTTTAATATGTACAAATCATCCGGTTTCCAAACCATCCAAAGCAATATGCTATATACGTATATATATGCTAAAGTTTTAAATCACATTAATTTTGAGGATTGGCTATGGTTTCACGATAAAAATAAAGAAATGTAAACCATTCAACTAGTTGGACGAGTGTGATGAGGCATTTCTGTTATGGTTTTCCGTGGAGGTACAAATTTAGAATGAAATATATATATTTCTTATTTTTTTCTTCTTTATTACAGGTGGCTGCTATAAAAAGACGTGAGGAAGAGGAAATGAGGAATAAAAGAAGCTTAGTTTGATGCGGATCTTCTGATAACGTCTGATCAAAATATGTATAATTTATAGATAGAGAGATACACACTCAAACAGTATTGTGTTGTCATGCTAAGCCTGTTTGGTGATCCACTGCAAATTGCTTTCGATTTTTAGGATATATTTAAACCATATATTGAAGAAATCAAATTGATGTGTATTGAAAGATGTGGCCACCAAAGAAAGCTGATGTTCCTTACCTCCAAGAATATTCTTTTGTCTTTAGATTTGTCACTCAATATTCCTTCCAATTCTGCTAGTGCCTTCTGATGCAACTCCCATATGTTTTTCATACTTTTATATTTTGATAAGAATTTAAGGTTTAATCCGACCGAATTATGAAATTGTGGTTTTAGCTTTATCCAAAGAGTGTGACCTAAAATACGATATAGCCAACACCACACTACACCCATGCATTATGCATATACATGCATGTATGTTTTTTAGTAAAATCTGATATCAATATAAAACAATTTTTTTTGTTTGAAGGCTAACAAAATGTTTTGCCGAAAATAAATGTACGTCTAAAAAAGTATTAAATAGAATGTAATTATTTGAAAATTTTCATCAAAACTAATAGTATAATATACAGATAAAAATCAGTTACAAAAACATATACAGACAAGAATAAATGTGACCCCTCAAGTAGGGGTGGGACGGATCCGGATATCCGGGAATTTTGGAGTATCCGGATCCGGATCCGGATTCGGCGGATCCGTAATTTTAGTATTCGGATTTGGATTCGGGCAGTCCGGGTATCCGGATCTCGGATATCCGCCTAAAAATTGTAATATCCGCGGATATCCGGATTCGGATTCGGATCCGTAAAAATAATTAAAAATAAATAAAAATTTATTTTAAAAATACAGAAAATTGAAAAATAATAGAAACATTAAATATTTATACCAGATTTATGAATATATATATGACATATAATATTATTAAAACTAAAATATAATATTATAAGATTAATTTATATATAAATATTAATATATTAAATATAATTATGAATAAGATTAAAAATTTATTATAATTTTAAAACACGGATCCGGATCCGGATATCCGGACCTAAAAATTAAGATATCCGGATTCGGATCCGGTTTGGACGGATCCGAGATTTTACTATCCGGATTCGGATCCGGGCACCCCAGATATCCTATTTTCGGAGCGGATCCGGAGCGAATCTCGGATCGGATCCGAATCCCGGATAATAAGTCCCAGCCCTACCCTCAAGAATAGAAAAATATTATCCATATGGACCATATCCAAACTAAACTAAAATCCATATGTTCTTTTGGTTCGGCAGAGAAATATATTCATTACAAAATAATTATCTTTTTGAGTTTTAAAACAGAAAGGCTCTTTTCAGTAAAGGAATTTACAATTTTCCTGTAATAAATAAATACATAATAAAGAAACGGATTTTTTTTGTGCACCTATAAAGAAACCGTTGTTAAAAAAAAGAAAAGAAACGGATTAATAGGTGGAATATTCTTTTATCTCATTCCCTTGTCTACTCAACTGCCTAAATCCCACATGATAAAAAAATGTTAAAAGCCAAACTAAATATTAATACCCACAAGAAAAACAAAGAGCCGTCAACACCGTCAGATCAACACACCTAGTCAATGTCTGACGTACAACGTAATCAGATCCAACGGTTTCAAAAATAAGAACCACATTCTAATTCTTCTCAAAGGTAATATTCCAATAGCATCTTCCGAGAAAATCCCTATTCGTCTCTCTCTCTTCTCCACTCTCTTCCACTTATATATAAATCACATCCATCTTCTCCACATTCCATCGTATCATTCACACATCTAAAACACTTTGAAAAAAAACTATATTATTTTCTCAGACAATGGCTAACAAGAACAACAACATTGTCGTTGTATTTGATTTCGACAAGACGATCATTGACGTGGATAGCGATAATTGGGTCGTAGATGAACTTGGTTTCACCGAGTTGTTCGACAAGCTTCTTCCGACAATGCCTTGGAACTCTCTCATGGTTTGTTTAACTCTTATCTCTAACTCAATATTCTGTCCAAAATTTTAAGCCAACCCGCTAAAGCCATGTTTGGTTTTTACATAACAGGATAGGATGATGAAAGAGCTTCATGATCATGGTAAAACCATAGATGAAATCAAACAAGTATTGAGAAGAATCCCTATCCATCCACGTGTCATCCCTGCCATCAAATCCGCTCATGCGTTAGGGTATTTTCAATTTTTATTAAACTCTAATCAAAGAATACACATGAACATGTGCGTTGATACGATTTGGTAATTTTCCAGGTGTGAGCTGAGGATAGTGAGTGACGCGAACACGTTATTCATCGAAACGATCGTTGAACATCTCGAGATTAGGAAGTATTTCTCCGAGATTAACACAAACCCTGGAGTTGTAGATGAGCAAGGAAGGTTAAGAATCTCTCCTTACCATGATTTCAACAAGTCTTCTCATGGTTGCCCTCGTTGCCCTCCTAACATGTGCAAGGTACGTACTATATACGAGTTCAATTGCATGCACTAACTACAATTAAGATTACTTTTTCTTTCGTCTATTACTATTTTTTATTAATGAGAGAAAATAAAAATATATTCACTTGGCCAATTGTCAAATATACTTCCATTAATTCTGGAAAACTTTATGTATAGAATATATTCTACGATAGAAACATGTCATGTGCTGAATCTTTACGTATCCACTAGTGTTATCTCGTTAAGCCTCTTAACTAATAGTACTAATTTTTATATTTATAGGGTTTGATAATTGAGAGGATTCAAGCTTCTTTTACCAAAGAAGGAAATAAGATGAAGATGATTTATCTTGGAGATGGTGCTGGTGATTACTGTCCCAGTCTTAGTCTCAAAGCTGAAGATTACATGATGCCAAGGAAGAATTTTCCGGTTTGGGATTTGATTAGCCAAAACCCGACCCTGGTTAAGGCTTCGGTTAGAGATTGGACCGATGGTGAAGCTATGGAAAAGATATTATTGGAAACTATCAACGAGGTTATATTATTAGATGAAGAAGAGGAGAAGGAGAAGATGTTGAGCTCTGATCATTGCAAAATATCTGTTGTTGGGATTGTTCATGAACCTTTGTTGCCTCTTTCTCTCCAAGTTCCTCTACACCTCGTTAAGTGATTAATCAAGAGAACAAATTAAGAATCTAAGATTCTTTTTGTTTCGAATATAATATTATTCTTCATGTAATCGAGAAAAATGTATAAGATGCTGAATGGTTCATGCACGTACATGTAGTACGTTGGATTCCTATTGATGTAATTCCCTTGGAGCCTTAAACGGGCCTTTATTTAGACTCTTTAATAGGTTCATATATTACAAAAACTCCACAAGTTAAAAAGACATGTTGCAGATTCTGGCCGATCGGTCCATCAAAAAGCATTGTTCAAATTTAAACCAGCATCGCCCCACAAGTTAATAAATAAAAAATCACAAAGAGTGTAACTGGTTTAAATGCAATGGTGCCAGAGTTTGCCATAATGGATGGTTGTGGTTTCCATTTATTCCATAAATTTAATATAGCTAGATCAAGTAATTGTTGGCAGTTATTAGCAATCAAGAATTTAATATAGCTAAGATCAACTGCAATAATTGTTGGCAGTTAGTAGCAAACAAGGTTTAAATGCATTTAAATGCAATGGTGCCAGAGTTTCCAAATTTATATATTGAAACTATGAGATATATAAATTTTTATTATATAAAGTAGAGTTTTTTCTCATGTAAGGTTGTCATGTTACTAATTAGTCTCTTAAGATGATGACATGTGTCGATTTAAAATTTCATTTTATTCTTTCGATAATGTTATTGTTGAGTTTTCATATCAACAATTGTATTGGGCTTTTTTTGGACCAAAAAGCATTGTGTTAAGTATATGATTAACGGATCTACAATGACTATTTTTTCAGCAAGTTCTCGACGTCGTCAGAGTTGCCACTATTGTTAACCAAACAACCATGGAGGATCCAGCTTGGTTGCGGGGGTTGAAAATCCGGCCAATTTCGGGTGGAAACGGCTATTAGTCTCAGTTTGAGTAACTCCTCACTTGCTTTAGAGAACTTGGAACAAGGATCTCATATGCATTCAATCATTCTCATTAATCTCACAATTACCTCTATCTTCCCATTACTTCAACGTTTTCACATTCATTGCATACTCCTTTTCTTCCCACTGATGAATCTATATTTATAAATAGCTTAAATTGTATCCATTAAAGTGCAAAATAAATATATAGTTTATGCTATATAAATAGATTTAAAATATCTGCAAACAATGTAAAAGTTTTAATATTACGGTTATGAAAAAAAAATAGTACCATATTCCACCAATGGATCCTCCAAATATTGACAACAAAAAAATCTTGGTAGCTAATCTTGAATATAACATAGAAAAATATTATGAATTTATTTCTCTAGATTCTGAAATCATATGTTTAAGAGTTAAGATCAATCAAGAAATACAATGGTTCAGAGATGTTAATAGTTGTTCCTAACAATCAATCGAGCTTATTTGACCAAAACTAAGTATCAGCTAACAATAAACTTAAAAAATAAGACTGATGAACACCAGGAACAACATTCCCAACCCATGAACACCATTTAGATTGCCAATTTCACCAAAATTAAAATTTTCTTTTTCGAAAATTATGCAATGCCTTAGTCGCTGGCTAAAAGCTCAGAAAAAAATCATATACATAATTTATTAGATGCAAGTTATTCGACTGAGATGACATAATAATTCAATCATGGTAATGTCATAAAAGCAAAAAGTCAAAACAAAAATTACTTACAAACAAACTATCCAACAACTTAAATTGATAAAAGAATATATCTCATACACACTTCTCACAAATGTGAACTTAAGACACCGAACACAAAATTATATAAAAAATAACCTAAATTATAAGTAAAATATATCCCGTCCGTAGGGCAGACTGACCCTAGTAAATAATAAACTAGTGTTTTAGAGGATACATATGATATTGATGTAGTCGAAAACTAGTGTATTATTTATTTATATATCTCATAGTTTCAATATATAAGTTTTAATTTTATATTTATTTTATATATCTTGATTTTTTTTCCTTTTCTAATTACCAACTACTTGCAGGGACAATTTCTTACAGTAAGAGAAAATCTATTTTGAGTTTTGAAAACTTGAAAATTTATGGAATGTCAAAAAAAAAATCTTGATTGCTAATAACTGCCAACAATTATTGTCACTTGATCTAGCTATATTAAAAAAAAAAACCGGATTGGAAATTATCCGGTTAGAATTTAAGTTTGCACGACTCTCGCATCAACCTACCTAATACATATAGGCTATGGTTACTTGGTTAGTGGTTATAGAGAAAATGGGACGAGTACTTAAAAGCTATAACATAGAACATAAAAAAACAAACGAACATAAACCTTAAATAAACAATGGTTGTTACAAGATTTTAGTGATAATATAGTTTTGAAAAGCCTAAATGCAACTAAACAATCGTAGTCATAATGTGAATTATTCTAGAATATGAAGATCCTTTTTACTTAAGGAAGTAAACGACTAGTTTCATCTTCGTTTTGGTACATGTCTTCTGTTTTCCTAACAGCTGCGTGGGACAGTACCACCACCACGCCTGCCACAACTGCCACCGCAATATTGAGCTTTGCGTCGGTTAAGAAAAGGATCGAGAGAGTGAGAACATACATGACAATAAGGACAACACGGTGGTCTATCTCTCGGTGGAATACAGTGAGTGGTTCATCACGGAGGAAGTAGAGGAAGAGCCACGCTCCAAGTAGAGCGAGTAGGATAAGGAGTGACAAGGTATTCCAGACCAGACTGAGGAACACGGAGAAGAGGACAACGATGGTGTAATTAGTCTGGAAGTAGACGGTGTTGGCTTTGATTCTGGTTATCACTGTGGCTATTTTGCGCGGGAAGTTGAAAGAGCGGAGGTCTAGCATTTGTTTCCATGGACGGCGCATGGCGATCAGGCCTGGTCTTACGTTGTGGTGATCATTGGCTCGTGTGATGATGTACTCTAGTTTTGGTGCTAGCCGCTAGGTCGTTAGCTGACGTTGGATTTGTGCCGTATGTTGTCATGTATTATTTCTCTTTTGGAATATGAGAGAGAGAGAGATTATTTTTGATGCAAGTGTGATGTGTTGTGATATGTACAGCTGAGAGGTTTTATAAAGTCTAATGCTCTTATAAAATGAAAATTTTGACCATCGATCGTGTATGTATTAGAAATTGGACTATGAGATACGTACCTAATGCGTTAGAGCACACTAATAGGTAACAAGTGAACACAAAGTCTTATGTGTTATTGTGTTATTCTCCAATGATTGTGACTACTACAAAGTCTACAACGGATTTATATGCACGTACATATCTTATACTCTTAAATGCAGATATCTTTATCCTTAAATAGTATATGATTGTGTATAAAATACGCTAATCACCTAAAATATGGGATAAACCACAAACTTAGAAATGTAATTAGTCAGATAATTACTCCAATCACTAGAGGATCATTACGCTAATCACCTAAAATATGGGATATTGTTTGAGTAATAATATCTCATCAGTCATCATAACAACATAATTGATCAAATGACTTGGCTACTTCGATGGTAGGCCAATATTTTCCTTACATGACATGTAAAGTCATTTCCAAACGTTTTTGCATATTTTTACGTGGGGTCTTAGACTATGTCATTCACAAACTTGATTGTTATTATGATGATCATATTATCACAATTTTTTTTTATCATTTGTAATCTCTTTCATTGGGTTGGCTTGCTAACCATGATTGATATTCTTATTTAGAAGATGGAATGTCAGGAAAAGGTAATAACAAATGCTACAAGACCGACACCATCTCATCCAAGTTTAATGGACAAGCTTCATGTGTTCCCCATGAAAGAACGACGTACACAATCAAATAAACAATTGTGTCTAGTTTTACAAAACGACGAGGTGAAAGGTGCCACGGGGGGCAAGAGGAGGCCACGTTGACATTGTCTGAACTTATAAGTGAAAAGAAGTGATGGCGAATAAACATGACAAATGGGGACGGTAAGACCATCTCTAATGGAACACTATTTTTTCATATTTCTCTTTTACTCCGAATATAGAGTAAAAATCTAATATCCCTCTATAATTTACACTATACTAGAGTAACTCTATTATAGAGTGAATCATTGGAGTAAATTTAACCCTATAATAAAGTTACTTTATTTTAGTGTAAAATATAGAGAAAAAAATAGTGTTCTATTGGATATACCCTAATAAGAAGAGAACGAGGTGAAAACTGCAAAAGTCATGTAAGGCCAGGCAAGAAAGAGCTGAGACTTGCGGAGTTACTTTATATCATCACAATATCTAATTTTTGCATTATTGAACATTGAATAACTGAACGTGGCTCATTTAAGCCCAGCACTCTACTTCATCTTGGAAACATTGAATTCTACTTTTTTTTGTGGTTGGACAATAACTGAAACGGATTATAGTGATACTGGACTTCGAATTTCAGGAAAAACCTTTCAATTATTACACCACGATAAGGTTGTTTCTTTTGTATCTTCGAGAGGCCAACTTAAGAGTATAAATTATTGATTACGACAATATAAGATGCATTCGTTTCTGAATCAAGATCCCCATTTGTCGGATCTGAAAGGAAACTAGAGATTGCTAATCTAGCTATTCGCCCTAGCTAGCCACATATACGCTCCCAAGCACGACTTTCGAGACAAACTTTGGATCCATGATTTCCGACACACTCCGACGCGGCGTCGGGATCACGGTCACTTTGGCATTAACATATACACACCTACAACGAAGGATTTTAATAATCTAATGTTACTTTTGCTTAAAATCAGTATAATCATATAGTTTGATCTTTTGTTTCTTGTTTTCATACTATCACAAAAGCACCTTTTTTATCTTACACTTACAACTGCATAATATATAATTTATTATATATTATGACTATTTCTCTTATTTTCGTGGTGTATAATAAAAAAATTGCAAGTCTTAGCTTCATAATCATTTCGGACCAAGAATAATTTCAGATTAAACGATATTTAAACTCTAACTGATGATCATAAAAATAAGAATATGAATGAATAAGAAAATAATAAGTAAGAACAAAATAAAAAGAATAAAAAAAATATTTATTATTTTGGTTTCATATCAATTTTGATAAAGAATGTTTTTATTCAATAATTCTTTAGAATTCAAGGAATGATAATGAATCATACGCATGAAATATTCTTTATAAATGGTATATTTTTTAATGAATAAATAAGAATTAGTTATTCTTCTTCGTTTCCTATCTTACCATTTAGCGGAATTAATATAGTATTACGTTGTGCATTGGATTTGCTGGCTACTTGCTGGTAATAGTTTTCTTTTAAACGACTTTGCTTCTGTACTCTGTATGTCTCGTTATCACGTTTGTTGAGCTAAAACTTTTGACTAATTTGCCTTTGATGTTTTAGACGTTGATTACTGGAACGTGTCCCCAAGTATATTATCATGTTTTTCTTTAATAACGCGTTGCCCACGAGTGTCTTTTTTGTATTTCAAAATTCTGCTGTCGGATAATAAAATACTAATAACTTAACAAATTGTCAACTTTTGACGGTCTATACTATCAAAAGTTCATTAATTTGATGATCCACAAAATCGAAAAATCCATAGATCCGATGTGCGATATGATTTGTCCCGATCCTGTAGTTTTTAAAATATTAGTAGCTTCTTAAAATCAAAGACAAGGCCTTCTAGGCTTCAACACTACTTTTAATTGGTTAATCTAATGTTGTTTATAGTTTGAGTAGATTTCTTCCACAAAATACGGATCAGCAACTTCCACATACATTTTGGTCTCCATCCACTTGCCTCCCTTAGTATATTATAATTTCTCTTTTTTATATATTATGAATATACGAAAGATCACACCAGGATCCTTGTAGAACATTTATATTATTATTTTACTCGAAATTCATGTTAATTAAATATAGTATAATCTTACGATTCACAAAGAACTTTCTTCATTTGGTATCGGTTTCTTTCTGTCTATAAAAATTCCATTTAATCTTCAAATCAAAGCCAAAGCCTGCAAACACTTGGAAGACGACAAAATGGAAGAGCCGTTTCTTCCGAGAGAGGAGTTACTTCCCGCTAAACCGACATGGCAAAGAAGTCAGCTCACACTCGAGCTAAAGAAAGTTGGCCGCATAGCTGCTCCTATGGCCACCGTGACCATTGCTCAATACCTACTTCCAGTCATCTCTGTTATGGTGGCCGGCCACAACGGAGAACTTCAGCTCTCCGGCGTGGCTCTCGCCACCTCCTTCACAAATGTTTCCGGTTTCAGTATTATGGTAATAACTATACATGCTATAATTAGACTCTCTCCTCTTCAAACTGACTCTAAAACTCTTGAAAAAAATAACTTTGTGCAGAATGGATTAGTGGGTGCTTTAGAAACACTTTGTGGCCAAGCCTATGGAGCCAAAGAATACGAGAAACTCGGAACCTACACATACTCTGCCATTGCATCCAATATCCCAATCTGTTCCCTCATATCAATTATTTGGATTTACATGGACAAGCTCTTGATCTCTCTTGGACAAGACCCTGACATCTCTAGAGTCGCTGGCTCCTACGCCATTTGGCTCATACCGGCTTTGTTCGGACAAGCTATTGTCATACCACTTACTCGGTTTCTGTTGACACAAGGGTTGGTTGTTCCTCTTCTCTACTGTGCTGTAACCACCCTTTTGTTCCACATCCCGGTTTGCTGGATTTTGGTTTCTTTGTTTGGTCTTGGAAGCAATGGAGCTGCTTTGGCTAGTAGTGTCTCTTTCTGGTTTTACGCTGTGATACTCGCATGCTATGTGAGATTCTCCACCTCTTGTGAGAAGACTCGAGGCTTTGTATCCGATGATTTTGTGTCCTCTGTTAAACAGTTCTTCCAGTACGGTGTCCCATCGGCAGCAATGGTGTGGTAAGTCAATTTAACTTTATTGCTGTGTCATGTTAGGTGGATCTGATGAGATTTTAGGGACTAAAAACATTTTTTTTTATTAAAAAAATTAGTAATTTTTTAAAAATAATTTAAGAGTATATATTAGGTAAAAATCTTACAAAAGTTTTGAGGGTTGAAGTCAACGTTTATCCTGCTCTAGTCAGCATCTACGTCTTCCTATCTTACTTTGAGTTTTTTTTTTATCTTTTTTTTAATAGCCTAGAATGGTGGCTATTTGAGCTGCTCATACTCTTCTCAGGACTGCTCCCAAACCCAAAACTCGAGACCTCTGTGCTTTCAATATGGTAAGTAAATATATATATGTCTATAAAATTCAAAACATAGTATTAATACTATTTGTTTCATGTGATGTTACTATGTCAGCCTTACAACAGAAACTTTGCACTATGTAATTTCATCTGGAGTTGCGGCAGCTGTGAGGTATGATAATAATTCTAAACTCAAAAACATCTTCAACCTCCTCTCCTCAACATTTAGTATATATAATGGATTGGTTTCTTGTAGCACACGGGTGTCAAACAATTTGGGAGCTGGGAGTCCTCAAGTTGCTAGGGTATCAGTATTGGCAGGGCTTTGTCTCTGGCTGATAGAGTCAGTTTTCTTTAGCACACTTCTCTTCAGCTTCAGGAACATCATAGGCTACGCATTCAGCAACAGCAACGAAGTCGTGGACTATGTTGCGGAGCTATCACCTCTGCTTTGTCTTTCATTCATTCTTGATGGATTTAATGCAGTTCTTAGCGGTGTTGCTAGGGGAAGTGGGTGGCAACACATTGGAGCTTGGAACAACGTGGTGGCCTATTATCTTGTTGGAGCTCCGGTTGGACTTTACTTAGCTTTCAAATGTGGGTTTAACGGGAAAGGATTGTGGTGTGGTGTTGTGGTTGGATCCGCTGTGCAAGCAACTATTCTGGCTATAGTTACTTCTTCCATGAACTGGAAGGAACAGGTACAAGATTAGGCATTTCAGTTTGATCCACATCTACTTTCTACTTTTTTTTTTTGAATAATCTTGTTTAAGTAATTGGAATCTTTATATAATTTTGCAGGCTGAGAAGGCAAGGAAGAGAATAGTCTCTACTGAAAATGGATTAGCATAACGAAGATTTTTTCTTAATCAATTACTACATTTTGAGAGATAGCAAGACTTTGCTTTTTTCAGTTTTGGTGTAACATTTTCTTATAAACAAGTGAATAAAAAACTTCACGGAGTTGGATCAGTCATGTCCTTTACATATCGTTCAAAGTTCCATTCCTAACATTATTGGTTTTGTATATTATTGGTCAAAACGTGCATAAATTTATATTTACCGTAGCTTATATGACACGGTGCTATTACTCAAAACTCTGTTGTTATAACTAAAGAAAATATTAAAATTCTGATAATTTTAGGTGACTTTAAGTGATCAAACATAACAGTTCAAGAAATCTTATCTCTTTTTTCAGTGTTACAGATTTATGAAAGATTTGATGCAGAGTCACTTTAAGTAAGACTCTATTTGTTTTCTACCATCTAGATGCTGATACACATTAATAGTTTGTTACCCTTAAACAAGAGTTAGCTCTCTCAATAGCACCAATGGAAGTACTGTGATCTAATTTGCAGATGGAAAGGATAATTGGGTCTGTTTTCGATAAAACAAGGATCAGTTCTGATATAAGCACAAAGGTTTCGTGGTGTAGTTGGTTATCACGTCAGTCTAACACACTGAAGGTCTCCGGTTCGAACCCGGGCGAAGCCATTATTAGGTTTTTTACAGTTTCATGG